AAATATAATTCACTCTCTGTTGTGTTTTTATTTGATAAAAAAATATAACATGAACCCTAGAGAAAATGTTTTATGCAACTTAGAATAACAAACAAGCTGACGGCCCACCTGATAGAAAGTGGTAACCGGAGTACCATGGACATAACAGAGTATACTGTTTTGCCAATGATACCCCCCATGCATTGCCTTTCCTGAGGGACTCAAGTGTTATTTCTCTGTACCCTGTAAATTCGTTGCCATATCCCACCCTTCAAACTGAAACACAGCCATGGAAACGCAACTGCTTCACGGTAGAAACACAAATGGGACATAGGTGCCCAAGCAAACGACTTTTGTACAAAGTCTCCCTCTGGCGAAATAAAATACTTTTACAACACTTATATATTCGTTGTGTAGAATGGGCCACCCTTTCCTTTCGCTATGTCGTGAGAGACGACAAAGGGATCACCAAAAATCACCACAACCTAAAGTCTAAACGTAGCAACTACTGGTAAACTGGTACTGATACGACACGACACCAACTCCTTCCTTGAACTGCCTGATGTAAGTATGTCTCGGTCTCCCTCTCCCCCTTCTTCCTTCTATCTTACCTTCTATTATAATGTTCATAAGTTCGTCGTGTCGTATCAAGTGTCCTAACATTTTTTCCCTTCTGTCCTCAATAGTTTTAATAATTTGTCGTTTTTCCTTAACCCTAAGCAGGACCTCCTCATTGCTAATTCGATCCCTCCAGCTAATTTTCTCCATCCTTTTCCAGCACCACATTTCAAAGGCTCTAAGTTTATCCATTTCCTTCTGAGTTAATGTCCACGTCTCACATCCATACAGAGCTATACTCCAGATATAGGTTTTGATAAGCCGCTTTCTAATATTTCTTGTTATCTTAGCCTGTAAAAGGTGTTTTTTGTTATTGAAGGCTTGTTTGGCCATGGCTATTCTCGTGATTACATCCGGAGTACATCTTGAATCACTTGTGATTAAACTGCCTAAATATTTAAATGTATTTACTTGTTCTAATTGAGTATTCCTTTATCCATAACTATTCCTTTATCATCCATAAAAAAAAAACTTCGTCTTTAGAAATGGCAAGATTTAGACAATTTATATTGTGGTCTCCTATATATAGGAGACGGTTTGCATTTTCTATCAAGTAAACCATCAGCTTGTTCGCCATTTCGAACTGCATTAAAAATATTCTTACGTTTTGTTTTACATTTGGAACACATTCCAAATAAACCTTAGTTCGTGTTCTCTTGAGTAGTGTAGACGCGTCTTTATATTGAACTATTTGTACTCAACTCACCTGAATAAAAAATAATTCTTACTTATATTGTACATCTAAGAGATTTTCTGTGTTTTCCTACAATTTATGTACAGTAATACTTATTTGTACAAACATATTTGTATCTAATAAAAATTAAGTATCGATCCACGCTTGACCGGTAGTTATTAATTTTTCAGCCAACTTCAATAAAAGGAGGTTCTGAATTAGGTTGTATTTGGGCTTGTGTGTGTTGGTTTGCCCTTGCCGATTGGGTAGTAGCAAGTTTATTTTACTGGATTTGCAGTAATAAAGAATTTGTTTTTGTTTTTGATATGATTTTAATATGTGAGCAACTGAACTATATAAATTTACAATATTTTGAATATATATGAAACGAAGAGGTGACGGTATATAATACAAGTAAAGTAAAACGAATGACGTAAACGTGGCTGCTAATTATGTGGTCGTCGCAATTTGCTTCACACTTCACGATCCTTGCAGCAATCATAGATTATGCAGTAACATGTTGTATTTTTAAGTGTTTATTACCTCATAACTCTGTCAATTGTCACCAATTTGGATTTGTTTTTCTGAAAAGATATACTTAGTGCCTGGTCAATATTATCTTCCCTTTCTTTCTTGGGGGGTTCTGCCAGTAGTTGCCATGCTTGGCAGGCGGATTGGCAACCATAGTCAGGCTTAAGAGATGTTTAAGAGGGACGCTGCTGCCCATACCTCGCCCTCCCTTAGCCGGTTCTTACGCCACCCACGAGAAAGAAAGAAGTGGCCTATTCTATGCCGGGACCACACGGCCACAATATTATAATATTAATTAGAAATTATATTACAGAAATGTTATCAAAATCGGTTTAGAGGTTTAGTTTTTAAATCAAAATAACTGTGGTATAAAGTACGAATTGGAAATATCCTTTTAAAAGTCTCAAAAATATAGCATGAGCCGTGAATAGAGGCTTAATTGACAGGTGAAGGAAGGGTGGCGGCGATCCGAGTGTACGTTTCATTAATACGCAGCCGGTAACGAGGGCCAATTAACGTTCGCTTGCGACAAGTCGCAATTTACACCGCCGCGTCAATCGGCGCGCGACGAGACGACCGCCCACGCACGCGCGCCGCACTCAAATGAAACGCTGCGCTTCTAAATAATAAAAAAAATATCATATAGCGCCATCTACATCCAAATTAATTAATTGTATTGTGGGTACTTTCTTTAATGAACGACAATGAAATAATAACCCCGCCTGCGCTATCGGTATACACTGGTGGGGCACCAGTGAGTGATGATAAGTGAGGATGAAGCAGGTCAGTTAGGCCATCATGACGAATTTATCAATAATTAACCATGATGGTTTCCAGGGGAAACTGCGAGTAAAGAGTTAGTAAAAAGTGTAGTCTACGTTACAAATCCAATCATAATACCTATATAAAAAACAAACATGAATTCCATTATCATTATAATATCTGGCCAACCCGATTTACTCTCATAATGGTTTTTTTTTTATACAACGTAGAATGGCAAACAAGCTGACGGCCCACCTGATGGAAAGTGGTAACCGTCGCCTATAGACATGAGCAGTACCGTGGACATAACAGAGTATACAGTTTCGCCCATGATACCTCCCATGCGTTGCCATTGCTGAGGACCCAGGTGTTATTCCTCTGTACCCTGTAAATTCACGCCACATCCCACCCTTCAAACCGAAACACAGCCATGTAAATACAACTGCTTCACGGTAGAAACACGAATGGGACAGAAGTACCAAAGCAATCGACTTTTGTACATAGTCTCCCTCTGGTCCTACAAAATTGCTACTTAATGCTTAATAATCTAAGCTAATCCTTAATATTACTACGATTTAGAATATTAACATAAGACCATTATGGGAGTAAGCCGTATCGAATACAAAACGAATTGTAAAAATCGATTCTGAATTCGACACGTAATAGCGTAACAGGGGGAAAGGGATTGTTAGTAATGGGGTCTAATGAACCCATTGCTAGCAATACACCCTATCAGGGCGACCTCCACACGGTTCCCCCTGGAAACCATCATGGTTAATTCTAGTGGAATTCGTTACGATGGGCTGGACCTGCTTTCATTGTCACCTATCATCCCTCACTGGTGCCCCGCCAGCGTATACCGATAGCGCAGGCGAGGTTACCATTTCATTATCACTCTTTAAAAATACCTCATAACAAAAAAACATTCAGATCAATTGCAAACCTCGTTCAATAGAACTTCCAAGCTTTAAGCCATTTAGCTTAAAAACATAAAGGTTAATTTTAAACTTTCGCGTTGTTTACACATATTTTTAAATACACTATCGGAACTTAACGCGATGAAAAAACTTTTACAGTAAATATTACCTACATACCTGCTACTTTATTGCAGACGTTTCAGTAGAAAAAGAAGCACGTATGTATTATTTACTTATAAAAGCATTTCATCGCGTTAAGTCGCGTATGGTTGTTACCTTGAAACCATTCTAAGGCAGGAGAAAAATCGCTATTTCTATTAATAAGGTTACCGATGAGTTTAACCTTCTACTGGTACGAAATTTTGGTGACCGCCCGTGGGGTGACCCGTCAGTGTTCGCGTAACGAGCGTGAGACGTCTCGATGCGCAAGTCGAGCCGCTGAGCACGTGATTGTCTGCACTTTATCTAGCTTAACTTACAACTAACTTACACTAAATAACTTCTAAACATTTACGCAGAAATTCTAGGGTATTGCGATTATACGAGGCGCATACGATCTGTAAGAAACGACTTTGCACAGTTCACGGCAAATAACTTTAACAAAATTTTAATGAATTTTAAACGCTTTTTAAACGACCCCAAAATGAAAAAGGATCTGGGCTCGATTGTATTTGTAGTATGTACTTATATATAAAGCATTTTGTTTTGGTTTCATTTTTTGATGCGTTTAATAAAAAGATAATCTGTAAGTTATTTAAAAGAGCCATCCTCTTTCAAATATTACCGTTTATGAGCCCGAGAGAGTTGCAGAAAGTGGCTATACATTCGTAGTACACGCAAGTACACAAAACATAACTTCAAACATGACATATCAAGAAACGACATGATATTTTAAGGTAAATTTGATTAATGTTAGTATTTTTTTAATTTTGCAATCAGAATTTTTGATACACAAAAAAACTCTCAGGTCCTTGTATTTGGGGGTAAGCTCCCGAATATTCATTGTTGGTTTCCCATATCACTGGATATCCGAGCTTGAGACCCAGGTGATTTGATATAACTGAGTGACACTTATTAAAAAAAACCATCTTTATTCAAAAATTTTGGTTTTTAACACTTTTAAATAGTCACTTTTATGATTTTTCTGCTGGTTTTATCATTATTATATTTAGCGATAGTTACTGTTATAAATATACCTACTGTAATCTGACTTCATCTATATATTTTGTCCATTGAATAAGAGGATCGCCGTGTGGTCCCGGCATAGAATGTGCCATCCCTTTCTTTACCGTAGGTATCGTAAGAGACGACTAACGAAGGGCGAGGGATGGGCAGCAGCGTCCCTCTTGAAACATCTCTGAAAGCCTAACTGCAGTTGCCAATCCGCCTGCCAAGCGTGGCAACTACTGGCAAGACTTCCCTTATGGGAAACGCTAATGTCCAGTAGTGGACAGTTAACGGCTGAAATAACATTAAGTAAGAGGATTGTAAAATTTGAGCGTAGCGTGTGTGTTGCGCAGGAGCGGCGGCGCGGGCGGGCCGCTGCTGGGCGCCAACCTGGTGTGCGCGCGCGGCCTCACCGACCGCCAGCGGGCCATGTGCCACGCCGCGCCCGCCGCCGTCGCCGCGCTCGGCACCGGGCTCAGGTAAGCAACGATTCTTTTAACAATAGAAATTGTAGCACTATTACTATATATATTCCTTAGATTATATATGTAAATAGACTGTCTCCATACAAATATTTCGAGAAAAGCGTGGGTTATTATTAGGTGATGCCTTCTTAACTTCTATATTTAATTTGTCTTATCATTTCTGCATTTTTAATGTGTAAATACTCATTTTATATATTATTAAATAATAAGTCGAGATACATTGTATGCGTAAGTATATAGAACACTGATAAAAAGAAACGAGTCAGCTAATTTGACAATAAACTGACAAAAGGTTGACCCGTTGCTGAGGCTTGATAGTCTAAGACGGTGATCTTTATAATCTAAGACGGTGGAATACCAATGAGGATGATAGGTGAAAATTATTTCATATTAGCTTTTGATACTTAAAATAACAAAGAAGACAACCCACCTGATGGAAAATGGTAACTGTTATGTATAAACATATAAAACAAGAGAATACCATAGTATCCCCATACATTTATTTATTTATTTATTTATTCATTAGTACAAATATGTGTACATGGCGGACTTAATGCTAAAAGCATTCTCTCCCAGTCAACCATAGGGAAGTGTCAGAATACTCGAATGCGGTACTACTAATTATTAATATACATACGTACTAAAATTACATATATAAACGAATAAATATATATAAATAACAAATATACTTACACATATATGACATATACTATATTATACACGAAATTGAGAATAATATAAAGTACTTACTGCTCGGATAAAAATAAAAAGTGTGCGTTAACGCTTTTTTTGAAAGACGGTTTAGTCGGTAGTCTCTTAATGGCATCAGGAAGCGCGTTCCAGAGTCGTGAAGAATGTAGGAGAAAAGAGTTTGAAGCGTAACCAATACGGTGAGAGGGGAAGGATAATTGGAGAGTATTATTGGGTCGAAGGTTACGTTCGTGAGTTTCAAAAAGATAATGGAATACATTGCCTTCAAACGGTGGGATAGGGGAGTAAAAATTACAAGATACCTCTGTATCTTGTTATTTTACAACCATATCCAACCATTCAAAACGAAACATAGCGATGCAAGCACAACTGATTCACGACTCAAGGCTTCACTAAGGCACCTGACTGCGCCCTAATTTGAAAATGATAGATCGCTTCCCAGTAAATATTACGTGAGCGGCCAAATTTTAACGTACATCCCTCATTATATAAGACTGTTTGTAGGCCTATTGTGTAATTTGTACGGTTTAAATATGACTAACAGTAGGTACATTTGCAGCATGGCGTACAAGGAGTGCCGCGCCCAGCTCAGCGGCTACAGGTGGAACTGCTCCGGGGTCGGTGACGGCGCGTACTTCGGGCACGTAATGCCGCTAGGTAACTGTAATATTTATTTATTACTTTATTGCATTAAATAAAAAAAATATATAAATACAATAAATATTAATGACAAGTGATACAAAAGGCGGCCTTATCGCTAAGCAATCCAGACAACCTTTGTGTAGAGGACATTGAGAAAAAGACAAAGGGTAGGTGGCGCACTATTATATAAATACCACCATTATGGATTTATCTCTGCAAGAAGTATAGAATAATATATGACAGAATAAAACATCTGTTTCTCTATTGTTATAAGATAAAATATACTCACGGGGGGAAAGGGATTGTTAGTAATGGAGACTGAGAATCCTATTGCTAGCACTATACCCAACCAGGTCGACCTCCTCACGGTTCTCCCTGGAAACTATCATGGTTAATTCCTGATAAATTCATCATGATGGGCTTACTGGCCTGTTTTCACTCTTATCTATCACCGTTCACTGGTGCTCCGCCAGCGTATTCCGTTAGTGCAGGCGGGGTTACCATACCACTTACACCCATAAAAAAATATATATATACTCACAACACGAGGGATGAGCAGCGGCGTCCCTCTTAAAACATCTCTAAAGCCTGACTGCGGTTGCCAATCTGCCTACTAAGTGTAGGAACTACTGGCAAACCCCCCAAGGGGGAGGCTTATGTTCAGCAGTGGACAGTTAAAAGCTGATATGATGATGAACACTCAGGTTGTGGAATGAGCTTCCTGCCGAGGTTTTCCCAAGAGACTACAGCATGAAGTTCTTCAAAAGGGGGGTACAGAGGTTTCTTTTATGTCGGCAACGCACGCGTAATACCACTGGTATTGCAGACATTCATAGGCTACGGTAACCAGTTACCATCAGGTGGGCCGTATGCTTGTTTGCCACCTCAGTGGTATAAAAAAAATAAGCTTACTTACCACAGGTATTTTGGCGCGATACAGTCGCGGCGTTCGGCCGGTGTGGACGGTGACGCGTCCGTCCGTATCACACCCACATTGACTCGCGTGATTTATACGCGACGGCTAATTGACCCGCTGCCGGTGCACTGCCGAACTAAAGCCGTTTACACTACCCGATACGACTCGTGCATTGATCAGTCAATATACCAATACCAAAACATCCGGTACCGAAACCGATACGGGTTTTAGATTACAAAAAATCAAATCTGACAAAGCAGTTATGTAAAATTTACATTTACATTGTAAATGTACGTCAATATAAGACTACTTATGCAAGGTTGTTTTACTTTCTTTTTAAAACAACTTAAAAATGTAGATTATTTTCAATTCGCTATTACTGAGTATGCACTAAATAAAACCTGTATTAACATCATTGTAACAGATGAGTATTGAAATAAAAAATAGTATTATTACAAAGTAGTTAAAATTATTTTACGTAAATATAAAAGAACTTGCTGTCGGATAATAAAATCTTAAATGAGAATCGATACGACTTACGTCACGATCGTGTTTATGTACACAGATAAGTTTATATGGAAATCGGAGTTTCCGAAACTATCCGCTAGAGGCGCAGTTCTCAGTACACTCATATAAATTATTCATAAAAATTAAAACTAGGACATTTTATTACATACAATCCTATTTGAACTAATAGAATATTCTGTTACTGTCTTTTAAATTGAGAAATTAGTGCAAAAGAAAAAGACAATAGACTTCATTAGCTAAAATAGGTTTATAAAAGGTTTCATGTTTTTATTATGGAGGTGGTAAATCTTTGTGTGTACGACTTTTTTTTTTATCGTGGGTAAATGCATCATGCAGACCCATATGCCCCGGGGGAGGCGTATAGGTACTGCCGGACTCCTACCGGCTAAAACCACCACGGCATCCCTCGCCGCGCCAAAGTGTCGGGGACCCGGGTGAGCCCCAACGGCGTGTGTGTGCACGACTTACATTAAGCATTCTTAACGTCACGATCCGATGTGATCATGTCGTGTGAACGCGCTCACCACTACCTCCCGTCTTCCAATATGTTTGTCTGTCCGTCCAGCTGTCGCGGCAATTAACTTTTTATTTGCTTTACCTCCGTGTTAATTGAGTGACACACACGAGTGATTTGAGAACGTGTCTCGCTGTTTGTTTGTTTGTTGTTGTGTGAATCGTAAATTAATTTGACAGGTTTATTATGTGGAAAGTGCGTGTTCGTTCTGTCAAAATTGATGTATTGTACTACATTATTGAACGGACAATTAGCTTGATTTTAGTTATTCGAATACACATCAATATTTATTTTATAAATTATACTTCATTGTTCGTCCAAAAAATTAAAAACCTTTCATCATCATCATCATCATATGAACCATTAACTGTCCACTGCTGAGCATAGACCTCCCCCATAGACAACCATAAGAAACGGTCTCAAGCTACCTGCATCCACTGACTCCACTGATCCATCTAATAAAAAACTTTATATGACCAAAAATTATAAGAACCAGTTCTTTATTATTATTTCAGCCGTTAACTGTCCACTGCTGGACAATAGCCTTCCCCATAAGACGAATTTTGCCAGTAGTTGCCACGCTTGGCAGACGGGTTGGCAGCCGCAGTTAGATTGTTATAGATGTTTTATGTGTCATGCCCATCCCTCCACCACATGCTCCCTTAGTCGCCTCTTAGGACACCCACGGGAAAGTAAAGGGTGACCTATTCTATAGCGAAATACACATGACGAGGAACTAGTTCTTAGTTTCCAGGAATAGCAAACTACAGATTCGATGATGTCTATAGTTGTCAATTAACACGTTCTTTGAGTGAACTCTTCAATTGTATCAAAAATAAAGGAGTATTAGAAAAGAAACATTGTTTGGAACGCTTTGTCAAAGTTTACAACGCTCTACACTACGTACGTACATCTATCGCTGCCGTCGGAGATGTGGTGAGTGCGAAAGCGAACCCATGTCTCCGACATATGGCACCTCGAGGGTATATCGTCTGGTTTTTGGTGGGTACACCCCCACCTTACGGGGGGATTCCCACAGTACCCATTCACCTCCCACAAGGTGTATGGGTCTGCATAAAGCATTTACCAGACGTTAAAAAAAAAACGTACATCTATACAGAGTCGCCACTCGGGAATCTTCCTTTGCCAACATTGTTCGAACAATAGAATCATTGTAAATCCAGTAAATTATACTCGTACAAAATATTATAACTTTTAGCCTTATTTTCTAATTTTATTAATGTTAAGTCTACTTAATACATACTTTCTTATCACTGCATCCACTAATTGTCTTATTAGAGTACCGACAGCCGATACATAGTCTTACGCACTACCGTAGCTTCTTGTAAATTATGTATCGCGATTGTCTGAATATAATGTACCTCTAAGTAGTCGTATGATAAGCACTAAGTACAGATAAGCATTAAGGAGCAAATAGAACGAGCTATAAAGTAAATTGTATTCAGTATTAAGTGAAACCGGTGTCAGGAATCCTATTCTGGAACATAAAACACTATCGAATATGTTCAATCATATTACTAAGTGACTAGGTGATCATGTTTTTGTATGCTACTTTGAATGGCAATCAAGTTGATGGTCCACCTGATGGAAAGTGATAACCTTCACATGGACACAGAAACTTTATTTTGTGATTATAATCACATTCATAGTACCCCTCATGCGCATCATGTAAGAGGACTTAGATGTTATGCTTCGCTTCCAGCCCATACCCTATAAGTTCACTGCTATATCCCACTCTTCAAACCAAAACACTGCAGCTACTTGATGACAGAAATACGAGAAATATGTACCTCTCGTACCCATGTAGATTATTTTTGTGTACAATCTACATAGCATGTCCTTTTAGGGAGGATTTTTTTTATACAACTTAGAATGGCAAACAAACTGACGGCCCACCTGATGGAAAGTGGTAACCGTCGCCTATAGATATGAGCAGTACCACAGACATAACAGAGTATACTGTTTCGACCATGATACCCCCCATGCGTTGCCATTCCTGAGGACTCAAGTGTTATTCCTCTGTACCCAGTAAATTCACGCTATATCCTACCCTTCAAACCGAAACACAGCCATGCAAACACAACAAATTATTAAAAATGGAATCTTGTGGCCTCACTTATAAGTACCTTCTGCTAATTCAATCTTCACACGACTCCTCCTGAAAATATCATGATGTTAACCATAGTGAATTCATCATGACGAATCAACTCATCTGACTTTATCCTCATCTATCAGCTGTCATTGGTACCTCGCCAGCGTATACTGACAGCGCAAAAGGACTTAGCACTCCAATTCTTAAAAAAATCACTACCTCAACATACTCATACAAACTCCAAAACTTGTAACTTCGGAACTAGTCAACAATAAAAAAAATATCTAATTAAAGTTTCGACAATTCTCCGATGCTGCAAAACATCAAATGTACACGAAACCAAATGAAACCGAAACACAGCGACAAGCAAGATTATTTTGTCTCGAATTTATTATTTGCTGTGCCCATGGCCATCTCGAGCGTTACCTTCACTACAACATAGACTAATACCTCTGCCTACCCCATCAAGAATTGCAGCCATACTTATTTATTTTATTTCCACTACTCGTATTGCTGTGCAGCGACGCGCGAGGCAGCGTTCACGTACGCGATCACGGCGGCGGGCGCGACGCACGCGCTGAGCGCGGCGTGCGCGCGCGGCGACCTGCCCGCCTGCGGGTGCGCGCACAACAGGTAACTAGTTGCACTTCACATATACACATCATCATCATTACCGTACAGTCATGATTATCACTCTGCTAGGTACGGATCCTTCTACTTAGTTGCCTTTTACAACATCCTGGTAATGGATAGGAACGTTTTTTTTATGTAACATAGATAAGATAGATACCAACAAACAACCGGCCGGTTGAAATGTTCAGCAGTGAACAGTTAAAGACTGATATGATGATAATGATGATGTACCCATACCACCTTATAGCGTTACCTTTGACGAAGACTAAGATTTTATGTAATTCTGAAGTCAGTATAAATGTTTTCTTTTCCATTCATCTCTACTTGCTTTACTGACTTTTAGTATTCACTCGTTTTTTTAACCGTATCATCTTTCACACAGTTCATCTAGGCTATATCCTCCTCTCATATAAAGAAAATCGTGGCCAACTGTACAATGCAACATAAAAAATGAGAAGTTTATAATTTTGCTGTTCACTTACCAGCAAACTGTCGGTGCAGCGGCGGCGCGGCAGCAGCCCTTCCTCTTCGGACCAGTTCCAGTGGGGAGGGTGCGGGGAGGTGGCGTTCGGCGCAAGGTTCGCGCGCCGCTTCCTCGACGCCCGCGAGTTGGAGGCGGACGCTCGCAGCCTCATGAACTTACACAACAACCGCGTCGGCAGGAAGGTGAGCGAGGTACATAAGTTTCATACAGTCGGAGATTATCTCGAACTAGCTGTAACATGAAAAAATTACCTATCTGTAACAGTGATTCCGAATAAATACCACATGAGGACCCTCAATAGTGGTGCAGAAGAAGGATGGAGGAAATTAACTGGAAAGATCGGTTTAGTAATTAGGAGATACCACTTAGAGTAAAGAAAAATAAACAAATTATAAGAGTTATTGAGGTCAGAAGGGAAAAAATGTTAGGACACTTGATACGACGCGACGAACTTATAAACATTATAATAGAAGGTAAAACAGAAGAAAGGAGGGGAAGGGGGGACTAAGGCATAGTAACATCAGGCAGATCAAGAAAAAAGTTGATGTCGTGTCGTATCAAGAGATGAAGAGATGTCGTAAAAGAATAACGAAACTGACATATAAGAAAGAAAGAAAGAAAGATATAGATACAAAAGAAGGCATAGCATAATCTAATAGCTCAATATACACGCAGGATCATCTGCTACCGCTTACGAGCTGCAGGTACTCCTCCCGAATATATGCTGTGGTGTGTGCTTGTGGGCAAGTGTAACATTTCAGCTACATCTATTAAAAAAAAACAACGGAGCTTGCCATTTGTGTACCTGATATTTGAAATATGAAAAAAAAGGTTAAAAATCCCACATGACCGCAGTAAACTATTTCAAAACCGCTATCCCACGGATGGACTAATTACAACTAATTAGTATCTGTAGAAACCTCACTGTGAAACGACACCGCGCGCTGTATTATGTGTCATTGACAGCACTCGGCCTGCTAACACGTAGCAATCAGAATTACTAATGTTTCTCTCGTTCCTTGGATCCAATTACGGTATTGTGCAAAATGAGCGGTTGCATCCACAGAAGCCACAATTAGGCGCCTCGGGCTGCCGCGGCCAGTCTGCACGTCGAGAGGTTTTGCTCGTGCGTTTCCAATCGCGTGATTTTAAGGCACGATACGTTATCTTCTTGTACATATGTATATATGTATAAAATTGTAGCCATAGGGTTCTCTATATTGAACGCGATTTCACAGTCATCTGCAGAGCTATCTTTTAGTAACACTGATAATTATCAATTGGCTATACTTGCATGCTATTCTCTAATTCTTTTTTATACAACTTAGAATGGCAAATAAGCTCATGGCCCATCTGATGGAAAGTGGTAACCGTCGCCTATAGACATGAGCATTACAATGGACATAACAGAGTATACTGTTTCGCCCATGATACTTTCCATGCGTTGCCATTCCTGAGGACTCAGGTGTTATGCCTCTGTACCCTGTAAATTCACTGCCATATCCCACCCTTCAAACCGAAATATAGCCATGCAAACACAACTGTTTGACGATAGATACATGAATGAAACAGAGGTTCCGAAGCAAACAGCTTTTGTACAAAGTCTCCCTCTGGTAAATTCGGTTATGATAGTGAAATTACTAGATGCAATTACTTTTTATATTTTACTGACAATTTTTACTTTTTACTGTAAATTCCGAACAGTCTGGTAGCCTGTCACATTCTACCCTTCAAGCTGAAACATAGCCATGCAAGCATAGCTGCTTCATGCCAGATACACAAGTAGGCTAAAATCATTCAAAATAGAGTTTTATTATAAAGAATTTCCCTCCACTAATTCATTATGTCACAAAGGTTGCAAAATATTAGTATTATCTGTAGTGCTGCAAGAGTTCACAGCTTGTAATGGCTAGTACAATTGGCGGGCCATTAATATATTTGTTTGTAATATTATTAGATAATTTAATATAACTATTATCATAACACAAACCTAAGGCACAAAAAGAAAAAAAAATATTATTTTATCTATGTCATAAATTCAGTGTTAAATATAATATAACAACTATCGCCTCGTTATCGCTGTATTTAGGTGCACGGCCTTTAATGGAAAGATTTTTAAAAATCCTTTTTTTTTTATTATATCATTACTACGCGAGTCTTGAGTCTCGCAAAAAGACATTAATGCGAGGCTTCGTACGTTCGCGATGAGACATAATTTGGCGCGAAATTATAAGTAGATTCAGTTTTTATTTTACTTATTATAAAATCGTTTTTAGTGGATGTATTATAATTTATTACCGACTACAAAATAGGAAGTTATTATAATTACATTCAGCGCCTGTTTTTGTTATGTTTAATTTTGTATGTTTTGTATCTATAATTGAAGTTGGAAGATACCTCTTCCAACTTCTCAGAGTTTGCTAGCCGGAATTGCTTAAATCTTTCTTATTTATATTTTCTAAAAAATGTATAATAATTTGTTAATATTGAAACTGATTGTTTTATGTGTATATTATGCATGCGTGCTATAAAAATAAACTAATAAATATTCCATATGTTTTTAGTTTACAGATAAAGGTAACGAAAATATTAGGCAAATTTTAAATTATTTTAGGATGATGACATCTTGTCACCTTTAACTATCCACTGCCAAACATAAGCCTCCCCTTGGGGGATTTTGCCAGTAGTTGCCACACTTAGCAGGCGGGTTGGCAACCGCAGTTAAGCTTTGGAGACATTTTAGAGTATGTTCCATAATAAAAACCATCTGCAATTGTAGCAAAAATTGTTATTTTAATTTAAAAACTAAAAAACTGAAACGATTTTGTTAAAATTTTATGGGGTCAAACTGTAAGTTTATCCTTATACATAAAGAAATAATGTAATATTTACGTCACGTTATGTTTTAACTTTAAACGAATTGACTTACGTGAATTTCAGTAGAGTCTAGTTTTTTTTTTTTTTTTATGGATAATAACGGAATGGTAACCCTGCCTGCGCTAACGGTATACACTGACAGGGCACCAGTGAAAGGTGATAGATGAGAATGAAAAGGCAGGTCAGCCCATCGTGATGAATACACCAAGTGTATTCATTGTATTCAGCACGATAGTGCCCCCCCCCCCCAGTCGAATCCCGGATGGTCACGAAACTAAGCGAGTATTGTCGAATAAAATACTCGTAAGGCAATCCGGTTAATCTTACAGTTAAATATATATAACGTGTTTGTTAATCGAAATAAATTATAATAAAACTTAAGTACCGTACAAACAAAAAGTTTTAACTATAAGCATTCATATTTGCAAAGGAACACGCAGTAAATCTATTTGGCTATTAAAAGTGGTTGATTAAAATATTAAAAGAAATAAAATATGAAAGGAACCCAACTGCGTGGAACCCAACTGGCGCTGTGTTATTGAAACTCATAATTTTACACTGGCAAATTGTTATTGTACATACATGAGAATGCACGAGAATTATCCTTAAGTGGTGCATTACACTATTATACATAATATATTAAAAGTCATAAAATATATTCTGGAAATTAAAAGTAAACTCATTTTTTTCAGAACTATAAAAGATATTGTTAAACTTTTACTAGTGTAGTAAATTAGTAGAGATATCATAGATATTTGACAGTTATTTTCCTAACATCATATTATTGTCCGTGGATACTAACTGTATAATCCGTATTGAATAAAATTCTGTAACTATGGAAACAAAAGAAATATTCCTCGGGTTGACCACTAGATGAAGTTTATATATATATATATATATATATATATATATATATATATATATATATATATATATATATATATATATATATATGTGTGTGTGTGCTACAACGCGATATTAAGATTTCTAACAAGAGTATATATGGTCAGGAATAAAAATAAAAAATCCTCAATAATAAAAAGTCATCTGGTACAGTTCAAAGGTTTATTTATTGAGACCCGAATTAAAACCTACCTATAATCGTGCATGTGAATAAGGGTTTGTTCACTAACATTAACATTACTCCTTTATGGACATCTCTTTCACAAATTGTACTTTTTTCATGCTTAATTATCGCGCAGTTAAGATAGTTGTTCGCGAACGAATCTTTACACGTTTGAACTTAATTATGGTATTTAAGCGATTTAAAAAGGTGTAGTTATAATGTTGTAGTAATTGGGTGTAATGTCGTAGCTAAACTGTAAGTAGATCAATTATATGATATTATCTAAAATGGCCGTGTGACCCGGCATAGAATAAGCCACCCCTTCCTTTCCCGTGAGTGTAAGAGGCGACATAGAGAGGGCGAGAGATGGGTAGCAGCTTGCCTCTTACAACATCTCCAACGCCTAACTGCAGTTGCTAATCTGCCTGCCAAACTTAGCAACTACTGGCAAACCCCCTTAAGGGGAGGCTTATGTTCATCAGTGGACATATGAGCATATGATGACGATGATGTATATATTATTCTTTTATTTAATAATATATAAAGCGATAAGGCCATCCCATTGTTTTCTCATTGTGATTATTTCTTGTAATTGTTTATATTTATAATAAATTTACTATTGTAATATTTTGGAGGAAACAATAAAGAGTATCTATCTATCTATCTATAAGTGTAAATGACAGTTTGGTACGTGACCACCTAGTTACTGTAATAGTTACCTTCTGTTCGTACGTCGGTGCGGTAGGGGCGTGTACGAAACAAATGAGAAATGAAAGCTCCGAGAAAGATATCTCGCATTTAAATGTCAAGGGAGGAGTGAGTGGCCCACATCGAGTCGCCCATCGCACGACCGACATTACGGACAGTTCTCGTGTGCAATTTAAATCGCATTTACGTAAACCACAGAGAATATTACACTAATAGCCTAAACACACCCTACGCCTTCTAACGTAGCCATCTAGGTACTAGTTGTGGAAAGTTTTCAATGCAAATAGTAAATCGAACAAAGCACATTGTGTACGTTTTTCATTGGGTATTAATCATTTTATCTGTAGCTCATTACATTTTAAGCGATTTCTGAGCCAATTTGAATTAATATTTTTGTTTTGAAAATGTTTTAAATAGTTTTTTTTTAAATGACTTTTTTTTTTAATTATACAACGACTGTGATAATAAAACACGATTCGCCTGATAGTTGTCGTCTTGTTTGATACGCCATCTATTAGTGTGTAGCTATAATTAAGTCATTTTTTAATTTTATGAGTTAAAAGCGAGGAAGACGCTACAGTAGAATAATTATGATTTTTTATACAATTTGAAATGGCAAATAAACTAACGATCCACCTGATAGAAAATGACAACTGTCGTATACGTAGTATTGTAAATATTATATCTGCTAAGATACAAAATATACATATAAATAAATACAACTTAGAGTACCCTTAGGACTCTAGTAAGGATTATAGCTCTATTCTATCTTATTTCACTCCTATATCCCACCATTTAAACTGAAATACAGCCATGCAAGTTTTTTTTATACAATTAAGAATGACAAACAAGATGACGGTCCACCTGATGGAAAGTGGTAACCATCGCCTATAAACATGAGCAGTACCATGGACGTAACAGAGTACAGCAATTTTGCGACAGAAATACAAGACGACTTTAGTATAAAAGTATAGGTTATTTCGTGAAAGTCCATTTATTATAGTAGCCAGCCGTTAGCCGAACTTTTGATAAAAGTCTATAATCGTGTACGTCTTTTTTTTAATGGATGATAATGCAATAGTAACCCTGCCTGCGCTATCGATATACACTGATAGGGCACCAGTGAGAGATGATAGGTGAGGATGAAACAGGCCATTTGGCCCATTGTGACGAATTCAACAATAAATCAATCACGATGGTTTCCACGGGGAACCGCGTGGAGGTAGACGTGATATTGCTAGCAATGGGACTAATAATCTTCATTGCTAATAATTCCGTCTCCCAACCGCATACGTCGTGCGATCAAGTAATGAGCCTCCCGTGTTGCGGTACGCGGCAGACGGTGAAGGAGCTGGTGCGGCGCGAGTGCAAGTGCCACGGCGTGTCGGGGTCGTGCGCGGTGCGCACGTGCTGGCGCGCGCTGCCGCCGTTCGCGGCGGTGGCGCGCGCGCTGCGCGAGCGCTACCGGCGCGCGCGCCGCGTGGCCGCGCACGCCGCGCCGCCGCCGCGCACCGCCTTCGCCGCGCACGTGTCGCTGGCCGCCGCCGCCGCCGCCGTCGTCCAGCCGCACCTCGTGCTCAGGCGGTGCGTACGTCCACACACTACTGTAGACACTTAGCGCCCCCTCCCCCCCTAAGTATAATAGACCTCTCGTACTGATAGTATAATATCATACTTTTTGTTTCAATAAATTATAATGGAATGGTAACGCCGCCTGCACTAACGGTATACGCTGGCGGCGCACCAGTAAGGGGTGATAAGTGAGAATGACATGGCAGGTCAGTAAGCCCATCGTGATGAATACACCTGGAATTCAACACGATAGTTGCCAGGAGGGGCCACGTGGAGATCGACCTGACAGGATATATTGCTAGCAATGGGACTAATAATCCGATTACTAAAAATCCATCCCCACCCCCCGTACTAACGTACTAGTACATTTACATCGGTTATACACAACACATTCTATTATGTTTCGTCTACAGCGGAGATGTTTAACCTTCACTCACCCAGCTGTATGTTGCTGATAAAGCGGATGCTTAATAATGAAACTCAAATATTGTCAACTAAACTACTGTGTATACAGATACCGTCCGAACGGCGTGGGCCGGCCGCCGCGCAAGTCGGAGCTGGTGTACCTGGCGCCGTCGCCGTCGTACTGCGAGCCCGACGCGGCCGCCGGCTCGCCCGGCACCCACGGCCGCCACTGCAACCGCACCTCCAGAGGTACCACCACGCTGTCTTATACGCACCACACACACAGAGCACAGGACGCCACAATGACATGGCATGCCCAACCGTAATCCAAAACATTAATATAACGCGAGTAAAAATATTTACAGAATTTCCACCAAGGAATGTAACATTCCTCTGGCCGAACTGCTATTGGAGACGTTTCCTTACAAACGCAAACAGTTTACCACGTCTTTGTATTTATTTGTTTAGGCATGTTATTGTATTTATTTATATGGTCGCACACATTCAAATAAAAATTAGAGGAGTATGCCACATTACGTAGATAACCAATGCCTGTGTTAGTTGTGTATTATTTATTTATATACTTTTGTACATTCACTTATAGTATAGATATTAGGTTATAACAAAAATGTACATAAACGGACTTAATCCTTAAAGAGAGTTTTTGCAGTGAACCAAAGTTGATTTTGTTATCTTTATGAATATACTTGATACGATTAAGCTAACGACCCGCTTCAAAGTCCTATGAGGCGCTAATAAATGATTTAATTATAATAAATTCATTGATAATATTCATAAGAATTGTGTCGACAATCTGATGCCCCTGATCTCAATTGATCTGATAGTCTTTTGACCCTCATAACAAATTGTTCACTACACTATTAAATGAAAACACTGCACCGAGTATTTTTGAGTTTTATTAATCATTTTAATATAAAAAAAAAACAAGTCATTATATTGTAATGGAACATTAGAGTATAAATATAAATTATTGACAAAAAAGTTTTAAAACCCGAAATCTGTCAATGTAGCAGTAATTATCTCTAAATGATTTATCGCTTAAAAATGTTATCTTAAAATTTCAACGATACGAATACGATACCTCTACGATCTCATTGCAAAAATACACCCCCGGTATTATGTTCGCAGATGAGGACGGTTGCGAGAAGCTATGCTGCGGGCGCGGCTACAACACGGTGCGCGTCGTGAAGCACGTGCAGTGCCGCTGCCAGTTCCACTGGTGCTGCAAGGTCACCTGCGACACCTGCCTCTCGCGCACCGAGACGCACGTCTGCGAGTGACCGGCCCCACGTGTGCCAATACACGAGTGACCGTCTTCATATGTATGAGTGATTAGACCCACGAGTGCGAGTGACCGTCGCCACGTGTGTACATGACCGGCCAACATGTGCGAGTGACCCGCCTCACGTGTGCGTGTGACCGGACCCACCTGTACGAGTGACCCAACACACCTCTTTTTTTAATCTGAAATTGTACAGAATACAAACTCCAACAAGCGGGGAACAGCCAGTATATCATTGTACTTGTTTGCATTCTAAATTTATTATTCACGCTAGACAATTAGCATACAACAGTGTTAAATATACCTAATTAATATTTCAATAATTAATAATCCTAATAAAGATAAACTTGATGGTAATAGTCTGCGTTGGAGGTCCGCGCGGACCAAAAACAATCTTCGGCCTACATTTTGTCTGACATAATACACAGTATTCATCATATAAGCCTTTAACCAATGTTGAACATAAGCTTCCCCCTTGAAAGTTTTGCCAGTAGTTGCTACGCTTGGCGGGGGGATTAGCAACCGCAGTTAGGCTTTGGAGATATTTTAAGAGGGACGCTACTGTCCATCCCTCGCCCTCGCTTAGTCGCTTCTTACGACACCCACGGGAAAGGAAGGGGTGGTCTATTCTATGCTAGAACCACACTGTAATATACAGTAATGCATGCTGCAAAACATGCGACTCTCAATTGACGACACGGTGTTCTTTATACTCACCCGCGAATTTGATACTCTGGGTCATGCCATCTACAGGGCATATTCATCTGTGTATCCATCATCAGGCATGTAACTATGTACTTAATACAATTATTTGATTTCTATGAAGTTATCCTACTGATATGAAATGTAAAAATTTGCTAAAACTCTTGAATACTTGTTACTAAGTCGCTGATAATTAATTTAACAGTGTATGTTGCCAACATGTAATTACACTGATCAATTTAAAAGCATATAAAGTACTTATACTATTTGTAGTAGAGTCTCGTACTTAACACTGATTAATTTCTTTAACTTACCTACAGTTTTGTATTTATATAAAAATTGACGATGTTACTCCATAGAAAAAATCTTAACTATAAAATAATAACAGTACTGTCCTATCAATTGTAAAAATATATATTAATATTGATTTAGAATTGGCGAGGATATTGCTTAACATACGAAAGAAAATACAGACGAGTGGAGAATATCAACCTTTTTACATGTATACCATTTCAAATTGTTTTCTTTGTGCTATTTTAATCCAAGTTTGTAAATATGTCTCCACAATACTAGTTGAAGCACTAGCTATATTTAATGCATTTAATGTACGACAACGGCTTTAATATTGTAACTTATATCATTATATTAATTATAATAAGTACACAATAAGTTTAGACATAACAATTATCATAAGTGTGCGAACATTATACATACATTCCTTAAGTTAATCCTAACTTATTCACTATCACATTGAACACGTGCGCTTCTCAAATAAAGTTTTGTTTTACAATATGTTTGTATTTGTTTTATTCGTTGTTATTATTATTTTTATACAACACAGAATGGCAAACGAGCTGACTGCCTACCTGATAGAAAGTGGTAACCGTCGCCTATAGACATGAGCAGTACCATGGACATAACAGAGTATACTGTTTCACCCATGATACCCCCCCATGCGTTGCCATTCCTGAGGACTCAGGTGTTATTACTCTGTACCCTGTAAATTCACAATTATTGAGAAATATGCATAAGAAGATAACCTTTGTACTCATACTAGGCAAAGAAAACGTGAAGTAAAATTTTATCAGTAGGTCTTACCCATCAAGCCATAATCGCGCTAACGAGGTAACAATATTTTTAACTATCTGTACAGTACGGTATAACACATACGTTTACGACTAGGTAGGTACCTAATTAAAAGGTCAAAACAGACTTTATTCGTTAAAAGTTCGCTTCTGAAAGTTTTGATATATTGTTATTCCGTACAGGTGAGCTACCGTTAACTTCGCTTACGTACATTAAGTACTTTTAATTGGCTTGAAATACGGAACAAGTTGTGAAAAAAATAATCACCTGTCCACATATTTCACAAATAACTATTACCCATTTATCTGTATTTCCCAAATATCGCTAGTAACTTACATTGTAATGGATGATAATGGAATGGTAAGCGCGCCATCGCTAATAGTATACGCTGGCACGGCACCAGTGAGAGATGATAGGTGATGATGAAAAGGCAGTTTAGCCCACCGTAATGAATACACTTAGAATTCAGCACAATGATTTCCAGGGGGAACCACGTATAGGTCGACCTGATAGGGTACATTGCTAGCAATGAGGCTGATAATCCGCATTAGTAACAATTCCTTTCCCCCCGAGTAGCTTAGATTAAAGAGGCGACGACAGATGGCATTGTTTTTAGTTCTATTGTACCACCATCATCATCATCACATCAATCCTTAACCATTCACTGCTGAATATATGCCTCACCCTTGGGGGGCTTTGTCATGTACCCACGCTTGGCAGGCGGACTGGTAACCGCAGTTAGGCTTTAGAGATGTTTTAAGAGGGATGCAGCTGCCCATCCCTCGCCCTCCCTTAGTCGCCTCTTACGACATCCACGGGAAAGGAAAAGATGGCCTTCTATGCCGGGACCACACGGCCATTTCTGGTTCAGTTCTATTATTTTTGTTTTTATTATTATTATTAGGTCAAAATGATTTTACTTAAGTAGGTTGTGTACTAAACTGTATAAGTTACTACAGTATTTTAACTATCCCATGGGAAATCTTTAAATTTCCGTGATTAAAATAAAATATTGACCGGTAATGTAAACTACCACTATGCGAAATTTCATTTAAATCGGTCCAACAAATTCGGAGATTAGCCCGTACAAACAGACAAACGAACAAATAAGCAGACAGAGAAACAAAAAAATTGAAAAAATCTAGATATGTTCTTTACCTTTACCCTGTTTTTATTATGTACAAACATTCGACCTTTACAGTTTTATGTGTAAGAAAGAGGTTGTACACGGTCATAGACCTACAGCTCAATTAATTAGAAAAATAAATACTTTTGTCTTGTCACTAAAATAATCTTTGCAACATTGTACGTAATAAAATATTTAAATTTAAATAACATTATTGGTCTCCCGTAAAATTCCACATCCATCAATATGTATAGATGATATTATATATCTTAAAAGAAACGGGTTGATAATAAAAAAAGCTTAATATTGAAGTTCTCTTTTATCACGTCTTCATCAACAAGAAAACGTAAAAATTAATAACAGAATTGTAAAAACATAAGATAATAGAAAATCAATACAAAAATATAAAAGACGGATCATGATGGCCAGTAACATAAAAGGCGTATTATGATGGCCAGTAATACGCCACATAATATTAATACATTATTTATTATTTATTATTTTGGCAAATTGTAATCATTATTATAAACAATTTCGTTTAATTCATTCCAGATTTTTCTAACAATAAATACATAATTAACAAAATAATTTAATTCTACGTCAAACAAAATATTGTCATTATCAGAAAAACTGTCAGTCATTTGTTGACGTATGTATGTCCAATGTTGTCAAATATAATTTTTTACATTTTTTGTGATATCTAAGGCAATCAATTTTTACATATTGATTTTGCTTTTACACAAAATTATGACGTATTTATTTCCCCTCCCCTTCCACTTTAGAATTTTATAGTTGATATAATAATAATTGATTATGTATTGCGATAACAAAAGAGTCATAAATTAATACTATGATTATTAATTAACATTGTTTACACAGTTCTCGCCGTGTGGTCTCGGCATACAATGGACCACCCCAAGTATCCTCGTCTGTGTCATAAAATATAATTAGGCATTTCACTCAGATGTTGACAGTTCTAACGACTGATAATGATAATAACAAAATTCTATTTTTTTTTTTATTGTAAACAGAGACAGGTCAATCATTTTAATCAATCTAATGTGTTATCTATTATAAAAATCAATTATTTGTTGAAAGATTCGAGATTCAGTTTCTTTTTTAGCGCTTTTTATCGTTCATAAATATATATATTTATTTTTTAATTTTAAGTTTAACATTTAAACAGGATTGAGGACATTTTTTTGTGAGTTTATCAAATCAAAGTTTTTTTGCATGAAACCCGTAGTTTTTGTTACTTTTGACAATTAACTACTGGCAACTTTGCTCAAGTCAGACTGACAGCATGAATGACGGTTGTTGAACGTTTTCATGTTTTGTTAGATGTTATTATTATCGTAGTGATCGAATTCGAATAAATATTCCAATTTCAGATGTCTTTATAATTTAATATTGCTGAATTATAAATATAAAAATGCCAAAACCCGTGTGTGTTCAGTGCAACACTAACGACTCGTTACTTTGGCGTAACGCTGAGAACGGACAAATATGCAACGACTGTCACTTGGCGAACACAGCTGCGGAAACTAAAGCGGACATCTCAGTTAAAACAGAAACGGATGATAAAAAAGAGGAAAAAGACGATGAAAAGAGCAGTAAAACCGATACGGACTCTACACCAGCCAAAGCGACTGGCAAAGGGACGAGAAAGAGCACCAGATCGACTAGATATAAGCCGAAGACGACTACGCCAGCGCCGCCAAAGCCACCGGCGCCGCGAGGACGAGGCCGCCGGAGTATATTCAAGAGACCGCCACTGAAGGCTCCCACAGCCACTGCTACTGTTGTTACTAGTGATTCTGTGTTCTATAAGGTACCTACTAATCCTACATTAAATAACAATAAAAAATACTCTATGCATTTATCCAGTATATGGCCCCTTTGTGCAAAAATTCATTAAAGACCATTCAACATTATATTCTGAATATAATTAATTATATGATTGAGTTTTAACATTCATATATCGTTAAAAAAAATTAATTACTTTATATGTAATATCAAGTTTAAAATGGAGATCTTTAATCTCCATTTTACATTTGCAGCTAGACACAATTCAGTCTAAGAAAAGAATATTCTTAATTATTTTTTTTTATTTAAATATAGTAAAATAAACATAATTCCTTTTCTATGCTTTCAGGGAAACTACATGCAAGTAGGTGACATAGTATCCATGATTGATCTCGAGGGAGACATCTACTATGCACAGATCAGGGGGTTCATGACCGACCAGTATTGTGAAAAGAGTGCCGTGGTCACTTGGCTGCTGCCCACTAAAGCTAGCCCTCCTCCTGAAAAGGGCTTTGACCCTGCTACATACATTATTGGTAATATCTTGATAATTATTGACTTAGTAGAAATTTGGTAAATTAGAATCAAAATTATCTTTATTACTGAAAAGTATTTCCAAATTTCTTATTAGCAGTTTAAATTTTTTTAAGAAATTAATAATGCATAAATTTTTTGAAAAGTATAGTGCTTCCATGTATAGAATAGGCCCTGGTATAGAATAAACTACTCCTTTCTGTCCCATAGGTGTTGTAAGAGGCAACTAAGGGAGCTTGTGATGGAGGGATGGGCAGCAATGTCCCTCTTAAAACATCAGTAATAGTCAAGCCATCTGCCATGCATGGCAACTACTGCCAAACCTCTTATGGCGGAGGCTATGTTCAACAGTAGATTGCTGTATATAGATTTTATCCTTATTATCATCCCTCATTGATGCCCTGTCAGTATATGTCATTAGAGCAAACTGGCTTACTGTAATGATTTCACCTATTAAAAAAACCCTTATATAAGTATACCCTATACCACTATAATTGTCATGTTTTCAGGTCCAGAAGAGGAATTAGCTCGCAAACTGGATGTAATGGAATTTGTAATGCATGCTCCATCTGACTACTACAAGGCCAGCAACAGCCCATACCCACTTATAGACAATGAGGTCAACAACTACTCTGGATTTATTTGGACTTCTCTCGAACCCAAAGAGAGGATGTAAACTATGATTATCATTATACTTAATTATAAACTAGTATTAAATTATTATTATTATTGTAAGAATTTTTTTACTTCTGCCCTTATCCTGCAAACAAACATAGGTTTCCATTAATAACAGTAACCCCGTTAACGCTATCGGTATACACTGGCAGAGCACCGGTGAGGGATGATAGATGAGAATGAAAGCAGCTCAGTTAGCCCAACGTGATAAATTTCATAAGAATTAAAAATAATGTAAGCCGCAAACTAAATAGTGACACTGCGTGTCTTGACAATGCAATACTTTTTTATCTGTAGTTTATCTGATGTAACAATTCCTATTATAAGCAGGAATAAAGAAAATATTGAATACAAGTTTTATATAATTTATTTTTAGTGTACTTGATAGCTTACCTTACTAGAACGACTGTGAAACAACAAAACGCACGTTTTGCGTCGGAAATGTCATTGTCATTCAAATGTCAAAACTTCTAACCTCAAAATTTTATAAATCTATGTATGGAAAAACAGAACTGTCGGTACATTTCATACCGCTCATATTAATTTATATTTTATCCAGGATATACTTAACCATCTAGTATTTGTAAAGAATGAGTCGCAAGGAAGCTCTCTCATCATTTATCCAGCAAATTCACGGCCGCCCTGTCGTTGTGAAGCTAAACAGTGGGGTCGATTATAGAGGTGAGCTTTTTACTTGTTTACTTGATTGTTTACACATGCGGATCCTTGAATTCGTGCGCAATAGTGCTTTAATGTATAACAATATTAGCAGACGTACTGTTGTCTTATTTGTCGCTGTCTAATATTGGCATAATGTACTTATTCCGAGGTTAATACTCATTTGATATACAATTGAAGTAGTGAGGTAAACAATAACAAGTTGTGTCTAATAAATATACGAATTATCGTAAGTATAGACCTTATATTATATAGATAGAGCATCGAGCCTCAAAAACGGATGAACTTTTTGTCAGCTAACTCAAATTAGCTAACTCGGTTTTTTTTATTAATGTTCTATATACTTATGCACACAATGCATTTTGCCGTAACTATATTTAATTATTTAATAAGTAAAATGAATTTTTGCGTATTAAAAAAGGTGCAGAATATATAAGACAAAACAAATATAGAAGTTATAAAAGGAATCATTCAAAAATATTTATCATATAAAATTGTATGAAAAAGTTGATCCACTTTTCTCGAAGCATTTGTATGGAATCACTCTATCTATATAATCTAAGATATAGAATATATATTTATTTTTAATGAGTCAAAATGAAATGGGCTACTATTGCATCACTTACGCTACTGGTATACGTATGGTGGGGTACCAGTGAGATATGATATGTGAAGAGAAAAACAAATCAGGCCACATCATAATGTTGACATTAATTTACTGGGTACAGAGGAATAACACCTGAGTCCTCAGGAATGGCAATGCATGGGGAGTATCATGGGCGAAACAGTATACTCTGTTATGTGCATGGTACTGCTCATGTCTATAGGCGACGGTTACCACTTTCCATCAGATGGACCGTCAGCTTGTTTGCCATTCTAAGTTGTATAACAAATTCATCAGTAATTAACCACAATGGCTACCAGGGGCAACAGTATGGTAGACCACCTGTTATATATTGCTTGTTATGAAGCTGTTACACCCCATTACTAACAGTCTCATCCTAAACATGTATGTATTTTATAGTGGATTAGTGTATTTGACTTTATTATTTATTTGTTACAGTGAACACTCTGTATAAGCAATTTATTTGAACCAATTTCAATAAAAAAAAAATTCTTATTGCGAAAAGTTACTTGTAGGGAAAAAAGGAGTATAAAAATACTTACTGTGTAGAAAATATTTTTACTTGAAATATAAAGAATGTTGCTTATACAGAGTATATTACTTGATTATTACCTATTATCTCTCATTGATACCCTTTCAACATAAAGAAATATGCACTATTTCTTGATTCTTACCAGATTACCATTGCCATTTGCATCTATTAAATATATAATATAAACTAAAAATGTAAAAATACAACAACAAGTGCAAAGAACAAAATCTAATAGATTTAACATTTAAAACTTGAATCCATCCATTACAGGGGTGCTGGCATGTCTGGATGGCTACATGAACATAGCTCTTGAACAAACCGAGGAGTATGTGAATGGACAGCTGAAAAATAAGTACGGTGATGCCTTCATCAGAGGTAACAATGTGCTCTACATCAGCACACAGAAACGGAGGATATGATGTGTTATATAGCATTTAGTCTGTAAGAATAAGTTAATTATGTAAGGAAATAAAATTACTTCTTTTTTATTTTAAGTTTATTACTTCGTTATTTGAAAATATTTGAAGAAATATATTGCAGAGAGTGAAAGAAAATGCAAGTGTCTTGTGAGTGGACAATTAAGAGATGAAATAAATGTACAAATAATGAATCTTAAAAATTTTATTGATACAAACAGAATTAGAATAACTAAATAAATTAAATCAAAATTGATTAATATATAAATGAATTATAATTTCATTCAAACAAAGAAAAGATATTGCTACATACATTTTTATCTATGGCTACTTTATTTATACAGATAGTTTTCATTCTGGTAGGCTCCAGGAAATGTGTAGTAAAATTTCACATTATTATTTTCCTGCAATAAAAACAATATAACAGTGTTTTACAAGCTACTAGTGTAATCATCATCATCATCATATCAGTTTCTAACTATCGACTGCTAAATATAAGCCTCCCCCTTGGGGGGCTTTGCCAGTAGTTGCCACTCTTGACAGGCGAATTGGCAACCGCAGTCAGGCTTTAGAGGTGTTTAAGAGGGATTTTTTAATGAATGTTAATGGAATAGTAACCCCACCCGTGCTATCGGTATACACCGCCGGGGCACCAGTGAAGGATTATAGGTGAGGATGAAGTAGATCAGTTAGCCCATCGTGACGAATTCAACAAGAATTGTTTACGATGGTTTCCAGGGGGAACCACGTGGAGGTCGACCTAATAAAGCATATTGCTAGCAATGGAGCTGTCAAACTCCATTGCTAATAAATCCCTTTTCCCCCCTGTTTAAGAGGGATGCTGCTGCCCATCTCTCGCCGTCCTTTAGTTGCCTCTTACGACACCCACGGGAAGGATGAAGTGGCCTATTCTTTGCCGGGATAACACGGCCATAGCACTAGCATAGTATGTTGTCCTATTATTACATTACATACATTAATGCCTCTCTTTCTGTGAATGACAAAATAGGTAAAATAGGGTATATAGACCATATAGAATAATAGACTACAATAGGGCTGATACGGAGGGAAAGGGATTGTTAGTCATGGGGTCAAATAGCCCCATTACTAGCAATATAACCTGTCAGGTCGACCTCCACGTGGTTCCCCCTGGAAATCATCGTGGCTAATTGTAATTGAATTCGTCAGGATGGGTTAACTGACCTGCTTTCATCCTCATTAGTCATCTATCACTGGTGCCCCGCCATTGTATACCGATAGCGCAGACGGGGTTACCATAGCATTTTCACCCATTAAAATAAAAAGGGCTGATACACCTGAAGAAGGTAAAAGCCCTTAAGAATTATAACCTTGTTTATTACCTAGATACCTACATGTATTTTGACTACATCAGAGTCTTTAGTGTAACAGAAAACAATCACATTTTAGTATTGAAAACATAGCTTCACCTCAAATGGATGGTACAGAAACTCAGATTTCCATACAAACTTAATGTAAACACAGTCGTTACTAAGTCTTTTTACAATAGACTAGGCAGTCTCATCCCTCGTCACACCTTGTGAAATAAGTACAAAGAAAACAGAACTCATGTCCAAACTAAATTAAAGATGCCTGAAATACATTAAATTGTATAAAGAGATGTACGATAAATAGGGAACTAAAGGCGAATATCAGAATAGAAACAAGGGCTAAAAGATATAAAGTTGTTGACTTTACAAATTTAAATTCATTTCGAATAGCTTACCTGAATGTTATCTTCAGAATAGCTAGTGATACCTTTTCCGTTTCCCAAATCTGCAATCAAATTCTCGCCTCTAACACCATATTTACTTATGTATTGATTCCTTGCATTTTTTCCATTTTCTGGATTAAAGGGTATATAGACTCGATAATTGAGAATTCTTGGATCAAATAGTGGAGCCCAAAAACTTGAATAAACATATACACATTCGACCGTCATAAATAAGAACAAAAGTGCTACTCCCTCTTTTATAAACATGATTCCACAACTGTCATAATACGACTGACTCGCTATAGGACATTCAGCCGTGTTTTGAAGATGAAAATAAACAATATAAACGAATCTAATAACTACATGTGCAAATATACTTTGATATTGTACGTGTTCAAGGCTCTTAGCGATACAGGTTTAATATGTCATGTGTTCAAGATGATATACCTTGCTTAGTAAGTACTTATGTCTGTAAACGGTTGAAGCATAAACCTATAACTATGTTGAAGTCAAGATCGTAAATATGCTTCTAGAATAATAGATTGTTTTTAGCACTGAGCATTCAAATGTACACATTTTAGACACCGACCATACTTACGGTTTCCGTTGGCCTTTTTGAGTTTCGGTTTTAATAGAAAATTGACCGAAAACACAACTTCATTCTAGAAATTATTTTCAATGCCACATCGACTCGAACAACTTTTTTGTGGGACCCCTGCCTTATGTAGTGACAGGCGTTTTTATACAAGTAGCTCTACGTGTCTTACGATTTAAGATTACTATTCGAGTCTTCGGATTCGCCATTTCCAGAAGACTATATGCATACTTAGCAAAAACTCATAGTTTCACATCCTTTTATTACGGTAACTATAGTTATACCCAGTCCAAAACAATAAGGGGCCCCACTAGAACGAAGCCTCTCAGTTCGCATTTACGCCACTGAGAAAACCTGTTACCAGCATGTTTGGTGAATTAATTCAACTCATTAGCATTAGAGGTATTAAAAAACAATTGTTTTTAATTGTAGTTATTTATTTTGCATAAAAAATATATTTACAAAATTTCTTACACCTTATATCCCTAATTTAAATAATATCGACTCATTCATATTTACTGTTCGCTGTGATATTGTAAAATAATATATCGTGATAGAACTATAATAAACGGGAGGTGAACAGTCCACGGTGCTGTTCATGTTTATAAACAACGATTATAAATTTCCATCAAGTAAGCTTGGAACACAAATCTATCAATTAACCAAGATTTTATTTTTTTATAAGAAGAAGACAATACTTATAATAATAAATTTAAAAGGACTAAACGTCCGAAGACTGAAAAGGAATACGTGTGAGACCAGGGTACTAGTAACATTCTATTATTATTATTATTTGTAATGTTTCTATATACAGAGTAACTAGTGTCACTCGCTCCAAACTCCTAGTGTGAGTTGTACTTGTACAAAGATTAATGTTACTATTGCGTTTAGTACGTTTAGTGGGCCTACCATGAAGTGAAATTTCGAATTTTCCGACTCCATTTCGTGTTGTTGTTCATACCGAAATCTGTACAGTAAATGAAGCTTTTGTTCGTCATAAATCCTACCATAAAAGTCCAATGGAACGATATTTCAACATTTTTTTTTTTTTAAATGGTCCGTATTATGTAATATTGACGTCAAACTTTTGTTTCGTTCGGCCCTGCAATTTCAGAAAACGTTTCATGGTAGGCTCTCAGTACCTGAATGTATTAAACTCGCACTAATGGCAGGAGAATTAGATCTTGTCTCTATAATAACAAGTACCTATTATTATTCATTACCGAATTTTTCATTCTTTAGTACCCACATACGAATAACTATTAATGAATACATCGGTGTTCTTCATTATACATCAAATAGGTACATAATTACATAGTACCTTTCCAATCACCTTGTCTAATGTTGTATTTGTCGAGACACAGCTCGGTTCCCCTAGTGTATGCCCTCTAGCGGCGAGTAGGACTTGTACTGGTACAGCTCGGGCCCTCCGTAGCCGTAGAGCAGCTTGCCTCGCCCGTTCTCGTCGTAGTATGGGTATCGATAGTTGGGCCTGCAACACAACAACAGTAATATGGATGAATTTAAATTACAACAGTGTTTCCAGGTATTGCAAAATATTAGAAATGAAAGGAGAAGAAGGGATTGTTAGTAATGGGGATAAGCAACCCCATTGCTAGCAATAAACTATCAGGTCGACCGCCTCGCGGTTCCCCCTGGAAACCATCGTGCTTAATTTATTGTTGAATTCGTCACAATGGACTAACTGACCTGCTTCATCCAAACCTATCATCCCTCACCGGTACCCTACCAATGTATACCGATAGCGCAGGCGGAGTTATCATTACATTATCATCTATTTAAAAAAAAACCTTAGAAATGACACCGCATGAAGGTAAGCAATTACCTCTACATTCCCAGTTTCATATAAAAAAAGTTAAAAGATTCTATTTATGACCTAAAATTCCATATTCACCTTTCAAAGTACTGGAAATTGGGCGCCCTCGGCTGCGGGATGATGGCGCGCGCTGATGATAGCGTGCAAAGAACTACCACCAGCTGAAAAATAAGGGAAACTCCATCAGCTTATAGCGTCGTAGATTTCAGCCCAATTGATAAAAATATATCTTATCAGATCGATCTACACGCGGTCCCTCTGAAAATCATCTTAATTTATTCATGATGAGTTCGTCACGATGGGCCAAAAGACTTTCACCGTCATCTATTAATCGCGAGTAATCAAATAAACATATTTTTTCTATCCGTATTATCATTATCAAGTAAAACAATTCCTTGACCTATGGGTTTGTTACATAACAAATTGTGTCAGTGGTGCCATCTGTCATTTAATAGCAAGTTGTTCGATACTGTGATTGCGTTAGCATGCCATACAAATAAATAGCATACGTGACATGACCTACGTAACGCAGGTTTTATTGACGATATTATTGACATTTGACTAATCTGAGCCCTGAAATAATATTAAAATATATCCTAGATAGATATACAAGATATCACACATATTCTCTGTAACATCTTAGTCCACAGGAATGGCATCTCATGAGTATTCTGTGACATTTGTTTAGGAATGGTTACCAATTTGCATTAGGCAAGCCGTTAACTTGTTCTCCATTTAAATTTTAAAAATTTAAATGAATATTTCTCATTTGTGTAACACACTACACGTTCATTTTTAAAGTAGAAGATAAATACTGAGGAAAGTATTTATTATAATATTGTGGTGTTATTTAAACTTCTTCCAAAACAAGAATAGTCTCATTTCACCTATATTTTTTTTAAATGCGCAATAACGGTTCCATGTCAATTACCTAGATACAATAACTAGAGGAAGACTTTGTACAAAAGTCTTTTGCTTGGACACCTCTGTCCCACTTGTGTTTCTACTGTGAAGCATTTTTGTTTGCGTGTTTGTGTTTCGGTTTGAAGGCTAGGATATGGCAGTGAATTTACTGGGTACAGAGGAATAACACCTGAGTCCTCAGGAATGACAACGCATGGGGGGTATCATGGGCGAAACAGTATACTCTGTTATGTTCATTGTACTGCTCATGTCTACCATGACGATTACCACTTTGCGTCAGGTGGGCCGTCAGCTTGTTTGCCATTCTAAGTTGCATAAAAAAAACATACGATAAGGCATAGATAATCATGTGTCTATATACGACAGTTATCATTTTCCGTTAGGTGGGCCGTCGACTTGTTCGCCAGTCAGAGATGCATAAAAAATACCTCTCTGAGAACTTACTAGAATTATCCACTAGACAGTTCCTTCCGCATAACAAATCTTATTTCCATTTACGTTTTAGTACACTAAACAGAGATGGTTCTACTTCAGCAACAAAAAAATACATTACATTATAAAAAAACACATCAGAATGACACAATGTGAAGAGTAAGTCAGCCTAATGGGGGCATCCTTCGACACAACACTTTCTAATCATTGTCCCAATCAATACAAAACAAAAATAATTAAGTCATTCTATACTATAACTGAATTGTCAACTAACCATCAACATAAAGTATTTCAGACACTCCATAGTAATATAGCACTGGTTTCGTCACAGCGAGATTCCGTTGGAATACAACGACCAAATAAACTGGTGTATTATGTTTGTGAAGCGAACACGGACTGGTGTTTCGTGATGGGTGGGAAGTGGTCGAGCGGTTACGACAGGCGAGCGTAGTGGAAGGGAAAGTTGTGTCTACGCGTAATGGCGCTCCGTTGGACCTGTCTCGCCGTTAACTAACGACTCAATACTTGCCTACTTATCAATGACGCAAAACCTTGGAATGACAACTGTATTTCATACGTTCTGTATAATAATGTGGCCGCATCCATGAACCGAAATCAGAAATGTTCAATTGTAATTTGTAAAATTACGCAATAGAGAATCCTAGGCATAATTGTAAAATTGCGTAATATTAAAACATATTACTTGCTACGGATCCAACAGCCGCCACTTTTTTTATTCATAAATTAGTTAAGCCAGTCGGCGAGGTATGCTGCCTGCATTTGGGAATCCCTCTATACATGCCTTACTACCTACTGTTTTTAATTGATGATAATGGAATCATCCATATGGTAACTGAAAAAGCAGGTCAGTTAGTCCATCGTGATGAATACAACTAGAATTCGGCACGATGGTTTCCAGGGGGAACCACGTGAAGGTTGACCTACCAGGGTATACTGCTAGCAATGGGGCTGGTAGTCCGCATTTCTAACAATCTCTACCTATTAGTGTTTTTTCTCCTATTTTTACACATTCTAATTACTTTTTAAATATCATATAATATATATATATATATATATATATATATATATATATATATATATATATATATATATATATATAATGAGAATAAAAAACTTTAATTCTGTTGCCAGTGGAGCCGTTTAACGGAATAAAAAAAAGTATTTGGTGTAAAACAAAATATACCTACATTAAAAACGTAAAATTCTGTTATCAATTAATTAACAATAGTTCGACGTATCGGCGAATGATAACAAGTCGTAATAATTCCCCGGTATCTACTCTATATCTCGCCTATGTATATAGTTACCGCCTACAGAATGGATATGCGTGAATCACATTGCGCGTGACATCATAGCACAGCACTGCCACAAACAAACAGAGAGCGGCGACCGGCGGCGCCGCACTCGTCTCGTTACTAAACAAGCACAATTCGAACGGTAACTATTAAAATATATGTAATACACAAGAACGTAAATTAGTAACGTGTCAAGCAAGTTAATTACAGGTTTATGTTGCCTGTTTATTTGTATAGTGCAGTTATTTAATTACAGACAGTATTGACTAATAATATTACAAGACAGCGGTGTATTCTACATACTTGGTAAATACCTATTATTAATGAGATATGTTATTTTTTTCTATTTAGGAATAATAATTTTATAATTGTATTCTGGATAATTTTTTATTTGCTAGAAAAATAAATGCATGCAACCAAGTGACTAGGTTAAGTATACATAATAACTTACCTACCTTACCACTGATTGACTAAATATAAGGAAAACAAGTCAACAAAAGCAAGTGTCGCCATCTATTGTTTCTAGTATACATTAACTATAATATTTTTAAACAACATGTAGTACCTATTTTTCCCGTAGCGTACTGCCTTTTCTAGAATGATTATGACAATTTATAAAGTTTAGTTTCAACTATCCTGATTTAATACAGGTTTTGTTTGTCATTTCTCTTTATATAATAACACGTTAAGAAAATTTTCTGTAGTTACAAACTTATCTATTCTGACTCCAATAAATTGTTATTATTATTTACTAGCTATCTCTTGCGGCAAATTTCATTCAAATCTGTTTAGTAATATATTTGCGAAACAGTAACAAACCAACGTTATAAACTTCTACATTTATTATATTAATAAGATATTTAATAATACATTATGATTTAACGCTGTAACATAAAGTTGAATCACCTTAATCAGTCATACTTATAAGTATTAGATAAAAGATAAATCAATAAATTTCAGGAAAACGAGATTAACCAGAATATGGATATAGTACGGAAAATTCAAAGTATTTCATGGTAAGCTATAGATATTACTTCTTGTGTGATCTTCAATGGGCACTCTTACAGGATTAATAATAATAATAGTGTGGACGATGGCATATGGTACGTGGTCTAAAACACGAATAAATAAATATAAACCTACGTGGTCTCTGAACGCTAGTACAACATAAATAAGAATGATAGAAAAGTTATACATATGTCAAATAAAAATCAATAAAAATAAAATTACAATTTTAAGTTTTAACACAAAATCAATGTGACAACAAGACACGGCATTAATATATACATTTATAGTTTACAAAAAATCATTAATATTGTAAAAGTTATTATCTATTAACCATATTTTTAGTTTCAATGTAAAATACAGGGTGGCCCAAAAGTCCTTAGAAAAGTAAAATTTGAATTAAACGAAAACGGCGCGCGTGAGCGGTGCAGGGGAAGCGGGGGCAGTAACTTCGGTTTCTGGGAATTTAGTCGCGATGGAGCGTTTCACCGGAGCGGACCGTGCGTTTTGTGTGCGCGAGTTTTATCAAAACAACAATTCGGCAACCGTTGCGAGGCGTAAATTTCGAGAACACAAAGGTTTACACAACTTTGATGACACCTCAGCTCTCCAAACGATTAAGAATTGGGTTGCTAAGTTCGAGGAGACCGGTTCGACGTTAGATAAACCGCGGTTGGGTCGCTCAAGGACATCACGTACGGAACAAAACATCGACACAGTGGCACAATCTATTCGTGAAAATCCTACACAGTCAACTCGTAAGCGTTCCAGTGCATTAAACGTATCCAGGACATCGTTACAACGGATTTTGAAGAAAGATTTACTTATGCACCCTTACAAAATTCAGTTGGTGCAAAAATTAAAAGAAACTGATGCTATTCAGAGAGTGAATTATGCTAATGAAATGTTTAATCGGTTTACTTCGTTCAATAACATAATGTTCTCTGATGAGGCACACTTCCACATTAACGGACACGTTAGTAAACAAAATTGCCGCTATTGGAGCTCAATTAATCCAAAACTTAAGCACCAGAAGCCCTTACATAGCCCTAAAGTTACAGTTTGGGCCGCTATGTCAGCCCATGGCATCATAGGGCCTTACTTTTTTGAGGACGGCAGAGGGCGTATTGTTACTGTTACTTCGGAGCGATATGTGGCCATGATCGAGGAGTTTTTCACACAAAAATTGCAAAACTTTCCAGGCTTTAATGCCCGAACATGGTTTTTTTTTTTTTTTTTTTTTTTTTTTTTTTTATAGAACTTAGAATGGCAAACAAGCTGACGGCCCACCTGATGGAAAGTGGTAACCGTCGCCTATAGACATGAGCAGTACCATGGACATAACAGAGTATACTGTTTCGCCCATGATACCCCCCATGCGTTGCCATTCCTAAGGACTCAGGTGTTATTCCTCTGTACCCAGTAAATTCACGCCATATCCCACCCTTCAAACCGAAACACAGCCATGCAAACACAACTGCTTCACGGTTGAAACACGAATGGGACAGAGGTACCCAAGCAATCGACTTTTGTACAAAGTCTCCCTCTGGTAAAAACAGTTTCAACAGGATAGAGCAACTTCCCACACCTCCAATACTGCTATGCCCGTTATCCGTCAACTTTTTCCAAACAAAGTTATCTCTAAGAGAGGAGACATTTCCTGGCCACCACGTAGCCCGGATCTGACTCCAATGGATTTTTTTTTTGTGGAGCTATCTTAAGGCTAAAGTGTACGACTCTAACCCGCGGTCAATTAATGACCGAAAAGAAAACATCCGCAGAGAAATGGCAAGTATTTCAGCAGGGACGTGCCGCGCAGTCATCGACAATTTCAGAAGGCGTTTGCAAGAGTGCCGTGACTGTAACGGATTACATTTGGACGACGTTATTTACAAAAAATAATTCCCGTTTTTCTAGCTATATTTACAAATAAAAATATTATTCATAGTGTAATTAGTTTTATTTTAATTATTTTTTTTTCATTACTAAGGACTTATGGGCCACCCTGTAATTTAACGGCAATTCTTTTATTTTTTTGGTATTCGCAAGACAGATTGTGTATGGCAATGACGAGCGTACTCCCTAATTAATTTCAGGTGCAAGGAGCCTTGGGGAGCGCCAAATATTTCCGATGAAGCAAAGCAGCTACTTAAAGAATGCACAAATATCACTCCACCAGAGTTAATTGATGATCTTCAAGAAATTATTCGAAGGAGCAATGAGTTTCCTATTAAATTTCCTATCGACACTGTAAGGTAATTAGTGAATGGTTTATAGAATTAGCTATTGACGAAATCTAATAATACGTACACTTAAAATAAAAAAATATTATTATTATATTAATGTGATATTTAAGTGTTTATAAAGGTTTCAGTACCCGTTGTATTTCAGATTAGAAAAACTCAAGACAAGGAGACCTATTGAAAAGCTGAAAGAAAATGTAAGGTCCACTTACCCTGTACTCCATGAACGGGTGCTCGTCCTCATGGCCAACTTTCTAGTCTACAAGAGGTATGCCATATAAAAGAATTTTGCTAAAAAGGTTAAGCATCGTAAAAAGAGAAAAAGAATGACTTATAAAAATAAATTGTTTTAGGAAGTATGGATCAATCGTCGAAAAAGAAATGTATTCGAAAATGTCTGTGGTAGAACTTATTGATAGGATACTGCACAAACGAGCTATATGTTTTATGAAGAAACAAGATGTCTACCTGCTTCGGTCAGGTAAAAAGGGGTAAGTTCCTGATCTGTGATAATTTAACATTAATTACGTAATGTAGTTAAAAATATGAGTTTCCTCTACTCCTATAATAGTGAAGGCGGTTGGGAGAGCATAGGCACTGCAGAGGAGCGGCCTCCCCTGGTGCTGGCTGACTACCTGAGCTACGACGAGCTGAAGCTGTCTGCGCTGGTGTCCGTCAGCGGGCCCACCGCCTGCATCAACGACGGCACGCGCCGCAACTCCGGCGTCGTCAAGGAAGACAACATTGAGACTGACGCTATTATAATTGGTAATATTTTTTCCCCAAAACCAAATAGATTATATGTAATTTGATTAATCGCATATAATAGATAGCAATATGCTAATAACCTTATTGCATTACATATGGTGCATTTTAATATACATTCCAAATATGTTGTTGAAACTCAATTGTCATGGTCATCAGAAATTTTATTACAGGAGTGATAGGGCCACGTTTCCAGCGTCCAGGGCGCGTAGACTGCGAAGATATTCTTATTACGGAAGACCAGAATCGTGAAGAGAATGGCTATGGAAGTATTCCTTCGGATGGACCGGTAACAGCGAAACAAATGTGGAGGAAATTGTGGGCGGACTTTTATCAGGTAGCTTGCAATAATTTACATATATACATACATACATTACATATATACAATAATATCCATAGGCATTTACTCTACAGTAGATGATAAACCTGCGAAAAGAAGCTTTGATTAAATTTTAAGGTTTTGAATAAATGGAACAGGCTTTTCTTGTTTGAACCAACTCTAAGTCCTCCTCATACATAGACACACTACTTTCGCCACATTCAATTCTACTGTATTATTTTTTCCATTCATATTGTCTTCAGATTCCAAGCATGACATATAAGCAGCTAACGTCAACAGTTCAGCTAAAAGGAGTTGCGGCCCGTGACTCACGCGTGTTCACGGAGCGATACGCACGAAGACCGCGTTCTAGCGACGTGTTCGACGCTACAGCGTACTCACGGCGGCTCACGCTGCTCGCCGACACGGTGCTTATCGAGGCCGATGCTCGCGCCGCCGCCGCCCGGAAACCTGCCTTCGTCAATATTATCGGTGCAGGTGAAATGCAAAAACGTTCTAGACAAATACACGTAGTAGTAAATTAGATTCTTTTAATTATTGTAAGGGAACTGTGAAAATAAAGAGGCGTTAATTAAACCATTAATAATAATATTGTTCCACTAACGTCTGCAGGTCTCGGCGTATGGAAGATATCACCTCATCAATTGGACCTGTTCATCCTCACTTTCTTGCAGAGGATACACTCACTGCTTAACGACGGAGCGCTGCATAACATATCAGATGTCAATTTTGCTTATATAAAACCTGGAGATAGTGTACTTCGTGAGTAGTTGTCACTTTATCAATTTTAAAATAATCGTGTTTTAAAAATCGCTTTTGCTAATGATTTAGTTCTTCTACAGTCGTCGCGTATTCTAACTCGTGTATTCCAACTTTAAACTGGGAAGGTAGCATCAGATAGAACGAAGTACAATAAGAAATAATATAAATAAAAGATAGAATAGTGTTAAATAAAAATTGTGATATTTGTAAAATAAAGTATTGCTTATCTGATTTTAGCTCTGTTCAAGTCAAATGCATCTAAAACCGAGAAGAAAGTTTTACTAAAAAATGAGGCACATCCAAAAGGTATGTGGTAACAATATCATAGTTATAGATTTAAGTAGTGTTTAGGCAAATTTTTACAACTAACATCTGAATATTCCATTCGACATGGATTTGCATATTTGAATTATTGTAAATTAAAGATGAAGTAAAATAAACAATTTAAGATTTCTAAATCGCTACAAAAATTACTCAAATAAGAAAGTGAACAGTATCTATCTATGTACCGAGCGAGCTAAGAAATGTATCCAATGTCAAAGACCATTAGCACTTTGTTTTGTCTATTCACCAGTTTTATACCATTTCTCAAGGTGGCATCAGCGTGCAGGTGGAGGACCGCGAGCCGTCGTCCGCGCTGGTCGGCGAGCACGCCGGCAAGCTGCTCGTCATGACGTACGCCTGGGACGGGAACGCGCACCCCGGCAACGAGTTCTGGTTCGTTTACATTTCAAATCCAACTAAATCAGAAACATTCAGATTTGACTGATCGTTTCTGATCTAATTGCTACACCTCTATGTTCTCAATAATAAAAAATATATTGCCCCGTTGAAACTTAATATTATCATGGAAGTTTTTTCCTGCAAATTTGCAATGTATATAATGATTTTTCACCAAGCCTGTTTTTGGCTACAATTTTATTATACCTATATGTACACCGGGTACACGTGTTGTACGGTTCCTAAATAGTGTGTCGCTGCAGGCTCGGCAAGCTGGCGACGTCGGGCGACCCGGCGGCGGCGTGCTCGACGCAGGTGAGCGAGCTGCACAGCGCGGCCGTCAACCCCGCCGTCTGCGGCCGCAACGCGCGCGTCGCCGCCTCGTGCGGCCTGCGCTCGCTCGCAGCCGCCGCAGCGAACCTCGTCTGAGAACGTGCACGTCCAGAATAAATTTATTCACTTTTAAAAAATTCAAAGTCAATTTTTATTGTACCATCCGTTTGTAAATAGTTTCAACTGTCAACCGCTAAGTACTAAAGATTCGACTGCTACTAAATGCGTTTCCTTTTCCTATGTGCGACACTCAAGAGCGAAATAATGACACTTCAGTATTTTTCAACCACATAATTATTGTTGGAATATTATATTATTATTTTAATATAATTTATTATTTATTTGTTTATTTATATACTGTGTTATTGTACATCCACTTGCGCACAGGCGCACTTATCCCTTAAGGGATTTTTGAGAAACCGAAAGGAGAAAGTGTCTATGTATAATATTCCAATGTGTACATTTTCGCATACCCGCAGCTAACTATCTACGACTTGGTACCGACTCTATAAAGTACACATATTGTCGTGCCGCACGATTGCAAGAGAATGAGCCTTTGGACATATTATCGCATTCTTTCTCCAGCTAACATCTTGGTTTAATATTCTAAAAATAAATTTATTTTTATACTTATCAAGTTAGCTACTGATTAATTAATCACTAAGTAGTTTATAAATATGTGTAGTAAGATTCTAAAGTAATCATAATTATTACAATAAACACCTTATTAAAAAAAAAATAAGTTTTATTTCAATACCATCTACAGTCTACACCCTCATGACGGTACATTTGTTGCTTACATAGGTAGGTATTCCGAATTTAGCTACTCAATAATTTATTTGCATTGACATAACCACATACCTAATAATAAGTTGTATGTGTGCCGACTCCATTACACTTATGTAATCTAACAAAACAATTATAAAGTTAAGAAAGTAGAATTGCAACCTCCTACATTAAGGTCAGTACCTGCAGTCTAGGGGAAAGGGATTGTTAGTAATGCGGTCTTACTGATCCATTACTAACATTACACCCTATCAGATCGACCTCTATGCACTTCCCCCTGGAAACCATCGTAGTTAATACTAGTGGAATTCGTAACGATGTTTTTTATTATATATTAGTAGTATTTCCGAACCGATACGACAACATAACCTTCAAGAAAAGAGCATATTCCTTTTTAAAAGGCCGGCAGCACACCTGCAATGCCGTAGGTGTTGTGGGTGACCATGGGCGGCGGTAGTCACTTACCATCAGGTGAGCCGCATGCTCGTTTGCCCCCTGTGTTGTAAAAAAAAAAAAAAACTGACCTACTTTCATCCTCACCTATCATCACTCACTGGTGCCCCGCCAGAGTATACCGATAGCGCGGGCGGGGCAACCATTCCATTATCACTTATTAAAAAAAAGTACTTGCAGTCTTACTCAGAAAGAACAAATTTCTGAGGAGGTACGACTTTGCACTAATAAAATTCAACACATTATATATATATATAATATATAGGCATTTTTAAATATTTAAAATTCCGATAACGCCATCTAGTAAAAACTACAAGAAGCATCTAATTTTTTGATGTTTACATATTATGTATGTCGCTCTCAATCGTAATTGTCTCTTCCAAGTTCTACTAGTGCACACTTCACTTCTTGTTTATTATATTCTACTTACGTATTAGATGACTGCCTATACTTCATTTCTGTGATGTCTCTACGCAATATGATTCATAATATATATAATCATTTGCACGAGCGAGTGTTTGTTTTTCAAAAACATAAACAACAAATAAAAATTAACTGACTGCGTAAATACCTAAAGTGAAAACAAGAATAGATAGGTCTTCGGATAGGATTACGACTTCGTACATGTTAATTCGTATAAAACTTTGAATTTTCGCAAACCAACCGCCAGGGGCGCTACTATTTTTATTAATTTTTTTAATTCCAATCTCGCTTACACTAACAGTATATCCTGACGAAGTACCAGAAATAGCTCATAGGTAAGGATAAAATCAAAAGAATTAATCGTGACGGTTTTCAGGGGACTCCGTGGGGTTATATTGCTTACAAGTGACAGCCGTGTAAGATCCCGTGTGAGGTGAGATAATGAGGCTATTATCTATCCAAGAAATATAATAATTATATCAAATAATCAATATCGATCAATTACAGATCAAACTCAATGTGTAGAACATCATACTATGTCAATAATCAAACTGAAACAATAAAAATAGTGAGATCTCAACATTCAATATTAATAAATGCAACAGCTCAAGGAAGCGCCCCCGGGTGTACATTATTTTTAACATTTATTTACAATTATATTTATAAATGATCTACCTGCAGTGATTATTATATATAAATGAGCCCCTGCGCATTATTCCCAGATGACGTTTCTGTAGTCATTCTCTGTAAAAATTATTTAAACCCACAAAGTGTTCTAAGTAGTGCTATGCTAAAAATAGTAAACTGACTTGCTAGCTGGGTACATTTTTATAAAACTAAATTGATGGTTTTCAAACCCCATCAAAAGAATCCTCTTGATATTGATTGCGTAGAGAATTACCCACTGTTAGACATTGCACATAAATGTAGATTCAAATATTAATTGAAAGGCCCATGTGCGAGTTGTAGCTACCAAGTTGTGTAGATACATTTATGCACTACACCAACTGAAAATATCTTGTGGTAAGACAGCCAGTAAGTGGTAAGATGTGTAACGGTTATGCATGTGCCCACTCTTTGCTCCAGTATATTGATGGAGCAAACAGTGGACATATCGGTATATCGATGTGGAGAAATATTGTAAATGTTATTATTCATACATACATATTATAGTCGGCATACACAGACCAACAGTGTATGCCGGCTGCAAACCCAGTGACCCGGAGGTCGTCGCCTCCGGAGTAGAAGCCGGGTAATGGGGTACGCCCCGAGGCCCCTACCTAGCCCGCCCACTCACCATCCGGCGGGCAAGAGAAGACCATGTTGTTGTTCATATATTTCAGTGCCACCTGTTATCGAATAGCAATATAATTGATTTATTTTCTTTATTAATTCTACGTTGTACATATTTTTTTTTAATTACCAAGTTAATTAAAAAATATCAATGTTATTGCATGTATCAAACAAAATCTATTTAGTATTTATTTGCTGGATGCAACTACGAGTATATAGAGTGTCTAATCCAAGAAATACAATACGTACTCACAACCGAGTGGTTTAGTCTACGCTGGATCCGTCTCGTCATTACTAATCACGTGGAAATTCCACGTCACACTGTGTTCATAATTTATAAAGTTGACTCTCTTATGTTATTAACATTATTTCTAAAGAAGACAATGACAAAGCTATATATTATTAAAAAAAACACCTTCAATCGTGACAAAACCAATTATATATATATATATATATATATATATATATATATATATATATATATATATATATATATATATATATATATATATATATATATATATATACGAGTATATAAAATCTGTTGAAATATATTATTTGTGTATGTTAATAAAATGCTTTTAAATGAATATATTAATATCCACATCATAAAAAAAATTACGGTGTGGTAGATCTTATGATTTCCGTTACTGTTTTCCTTATATCATGTGAGCGAGTAGTATCTAGATGTGAGAATGATTCATGGTTGTGTTGCAATAACTGTAACAACTAGTGTTTTGTATTATTTAATAGTCTAAATCATTATCATCACATATATATCAACTTTTAACTGCACACTGCTGAATATAAACCTCTCCCTAAGGGGGGTTTTGCCAGTAGTTACCATGCTTAGCAGGCGGATTGACATCCGCAGTTAGGCTTTAGAGAAGGATTAAGAAGGACGCTGTTGCCCATCCCTCGCCCTCCCTACTAGACCCACTGTAAAGTAAGGGGTGGTATTCTACGCCGAGACCACACGGCGAACTTTTTTGATTCTGCTTTGATCGAAAGTTCTGTTTAGCCGTGCCCGAGTATAAGACATTGAATAAAATATTTCCCGTAGCTCAATTGGTCCATGAGGTGAGCAGCTCTTACGGCACTAATTTTAAGGCTGCTTTTTATTTACAGTAAATAATGTCAAATTGCATAATATATACAAAATTCCCGTCATAATGTAGGGCCCGCACAATACATATATTCGATACGACAGCGCCTGGTGATTCATTCAGTCGGCTCGCGGAGTGCTGAGTGCAGGCGCAGACCCGCTGTATGTTTACAATCAAAAGAATACATACAATATCTCATTTTATACCGCTACAAACGTGTTGTTCTGTTGCCATCCTTGGAATTGAACAAACCAACCCGATAGGTGAGAACGTATTCCTTTTATAAAGTACACATTAGTTGTTTATATGCAGTGTAGGACGACCCTCTACTGGATGGAGTGACCTCAAGTGCATTACAGGGAGTCAGTGGAAGCAGGTGACTCGGGACCGTTTGTTATCTCTGTCTGTGATTACTATTACGCATTACTATCAAATCTGGAATTATTTATCAATTCTGGCATGAAAATTACTTCATTTATTCCTTTTTTTTTCAGGTGTCAAAAAACCTAAAAATGGATGTAATTCAGAAACTCGAAAGTATAAGCTGGTAAGTAATCATAAAATATATTGTATCCCTCACACGTGTATACGCTGATTACCTAGCTACTATTCTTATTGTGTACGCAAGGATCCGCCATTACTAACGCGAAAAGTTACGTTAAAGTTACTTGTGTCATCAATAAAATATGAAGAAAATGACAATATTTTTGTAAGAAATCTTAAAAAGTTGTTAATTACGAATTTTCACTTGACGAATACTTGAATGGCAAATAGAATTTATTTTGTTATTTACAAATAAATAATTAATTATAAATTGATAAAGATAGGAAAAATTTTAGCACTATATTTTAAGTAATAATTAATTACTTCTACAATATGTATGTGAATAATTATAAACTATAGAGTATATTAAATAACTATATAAAACTAATTACAATATGAATAAATATACATCAATACATAATGAACAATAATAATACAGTAAAAAACGTACCTATTGTGGAATAATTTCAAGACTGAATAATATTGTAACAAACTCTTAAACTATTTCTAAAGTGAAAAAAAAGTGTTATCCTCCTCTCTCCTACTACTACTGCTGTGCCCAACAGGGTACTTAATTGAAGTTGAAATGTTATCTACTAATCACGTTATGGAATGCAATAAGAAATAAATAAATAAAATCTAACTCGATCATTTCGTTGCTGTCTATAACTAACTGGAACAAAATCCTGTATCAGAAATAAAAGCATCGAAAAACTTTATTCTTTCAGGTGTAAAGACCAGTGGGACCCTCCAATTATAAACGATGAAGCGAAACAGTTACTAGAGGAATGCACAAACGTAACTCAAGCAGAACTAATAGATGATCTCCAAGAAATCATCAAGAGAAGCGACAACTTCCCCATTGAGTTTCCGATTGATACAGTCAGGTAACATTTTATTCATCCTCTATACAAAAATCTATTGTATCTTAAGAACCGAAATTGCATCTAAGAGCAATCCTTCTAAACGGTGGATTCGTGATTTTTTGTAATTATTTAAAATTTACATGTTCCTAGTGTAAGCTGTACAAAAATAGTTACGTTACACTAGTGTTCACGTTAATAACGTGTATGAAAATCAGAGTTTCCGAAACTATCTGCTAAAGGCGCAATTTTGTTATCATTACAAATTATTATGCACGTAAAAATGAATGTGATCGTAACGTAAATTTTTGTACAACTCGCTCTAGGCACTTTGTCAACGGAATACTCTGTTGTCTAATATTGAAGGAATGCGAGTCGGAACTACGCACCGAGGGTTTCATATCTACTACATTGTAATGTAGTATTATATCAATAGGTTTTCTACAATTATTGTGGCGTAGCGGTTTAACTTTGCACGGCCTCACCTTCTTTTATACTTTAAATTTCAGATTAAAGAACCTTATAACAAGGAGACCTATTGAAAAGCTGAAAGAAAATGTAAGGTCTACGTACCCTATACTCCATGAACGGGTGCTCGTCCTCATGGCGAATTTTTTAGTTTACAAGAGGTTAGTGTATTGTATCGAGGATTACCTAAATTGGTTTTAAGCTACTTAGTATGCGGCTTTCTTTTACTATTGAAAAGGTCCCGCGATTGATCACATCTGATGGAATTTCACTTGATGGAAAACGATGATATGGTCTAAGATTGGGCTCACGGGCCTACGAATAGCCTATTCATATTTGCCTTATATTGGTGCAGATTATATTTAGATAAAAAAATATAAGTAGGGAGAGAGTTCCATTCCTCAGGCCGCACGCATGATGAAGACGCAAAGCGCTTCGTGCGTATAAATGGTATATCTACGACGTAAGGATGGAAGTTCTCGCCTCGTTTGGTCGTCCAATATAAAAAGGGTAAAAAAGGAATCAAGTTATGAAGTTCTTGAGCACACCCTCCAAAACGTATCCTGTAGAAAAACAGCGAGTACCGCAATTTTGTGACTGTATTCTAGATTTTGAAATTTGGAATGTAGCATCAACTCATCTCCTATGAGTTTTTGGCTCGGCGTTCAATAGAATTAAGTGAAGCCAGCTGGTAGAGCCGTCCCAAAGGTTACAGCAGTACTTCATGGATGCTTGAACCTGTGTTTTATAGAGTTGTAGTAGTAAAATCTACCAAAAAAATATTACATATTTATTATTCTATCTTAGTAATTTGTAGTCACGCTATATCCAACATTTGTAAATTTATTAAAACAACAGTAGAGTTTATGTTTATTCTTAATGGCTGAAACATCATTTCGAATTGTACTATAGTATGAAAAAATTCACAACAATGTAAACAAATATTTAAGTTTAATGTTTGAATCTATTTGCATTATTATAATTTCAGGAAATACGGATCTAACATCGAAAGGGAACTGTATTCTAAAATGTCCGTCATAGAACTCATTGATAGGATACTGAAGAAGCGGGCTATATGTTTTATGTCTAAACGAGATCTTTACAAGCTTCGAACTGGCGAGATGGGGTAACTTTACTTTTAACATTTTTTTTTTATTAATCTTATAACACTAAAACACAAACTTAAATTGTGTACATCCTTCATAAAAAAAGGGATTAGATATTATTTCATTATCACCTCCCAAATATACCGATTTCAATGATTTTTTATGGACTAGTTCAATCGGAACGGTCATCATCAGAAATGCGTGTGAAATATGCAAAAGTTTATATACAAAGCCTCTTTCAGTTTATTATAATCACCACAACTAAACTTATTTTACTTTCAGTGTAGACGGTTGGGAGAATATCGGCACACTGAATGAGCATCCTCCGCTGGTGCTGGCTGACTACCTGAGCTACGACGAGCTGAAGCTGTCCGCGCTGGTGTCCATCAGCGGGCCCACCGCCTACATCAACGATGGCACGCGCCGCAACTCCGGCGTCGTCAAGGAAGACAATATCGAAACTGACGCCATTATTATCGGTACGGTAAAGACATCATCAGCAGCCCGCTGCAGTCTACTTCACACGACTTCAACTTTTGATCATCAGTCGTTAATATAATGACTTTAAACAAAATTATTTTTCATCTTTCCTCTCCTAGTCGCAGATATTAATCAGTATTTTATTACCAAGAGGAATACTAAACTGCTTGGCCAGCGTCATGACAGTAAGCTGCAACAAGTGTCTCTTATAATGAAAGAAACTTATTCAACAAAGGCAAAAATACTGACAAGTAAATGCAGTAAGAAGATGTTTCATTTGAAATTTGAGCACACATAAACTAGGAAAATTAAGATCTCAAAAATTAATTAATTAATTCTGCACAATTTTTATGCAATTCTCTGACATTCTTTGTTAACTACAAAGAACGTAAATCTAAATTGTCAAAACATATCTTTTATCCAGGAATCATAGGGCCCCGTTTCCAGCGTCCAGGGCGTGTTGATTGCGAAGATATTCTCATTACGGAAGAACAAAATCGCGAGGAAAATGGATACGGAACTAATACAGCTTCTCAGTCGGTGACTGCGAAACAAATGTGGAGGAAATTGTGGACGGACTTCTATCAGGTTAGAATTCCATGTTTAATTTACTGTATCTTCAAAAATATAGCAGAAACAAAAAAATACAAAATACACATAGAGAACTCAATAAGCGGTCTTATCGCAAAAAGCAATTTTTTCTATGTAATATTTAAATAAAAGCAATCAAGAAGAAGAAGAAGAACTGATTTAACGGAGGCTATTAATGACACTAAAATATCGGTCGATCAGTAGTTTACAATGTTTGTTGCGTATTATTTTTACATACATCAATAGAACGTATCTAATTAAAAGGGACTAGGGAAGCAATGAACACCTTCTGTTCGATCAAGTAGATTTTTTTATGGGTGAAAATGGAATGGCAACCCCGCCCACTCAATCGGTATACGCTGGTGGGGCACCAGTGAAGGATGATAGGTGAAGATGAAGACAGGTCAGTTGGCTTATCGTGAAAAATTTGACCGCTTGGAACCGCTTGGAGGTCGACCTGATACGGTATATTGCTAGCAATGGGGCTATTATTACCCATTACTAACAATCCCTTTCCCCTCAATCAAGGCGGTTAGTCGATACCTATGTAATCTCAGTATTTATTATAGAATTTTATCACGGTTTGCTCTAAATAGTACTCCAAGATGTCCATTGTCAGATTTCATATACATAGTATAATATATGGAATCTTAATTTAAAGACCAGGTATTTATACTTGTATAGCATTATATAGTATTATTTAAAGGAACACTAACAGCATATTGCAATATAACAAACATTAAATACAATACAATATTAATGCACATGCCTTTTAGAGGTATTCACAGCATTTGCTTTAACATAATTATACAGAATGAAATGAAGTAAACAAATATTTTAAAATTTGCGTTATTTCTGATTAGATTCCGAGCGTGACGTACGCGGAGTTGTTATCGAATGTGGCGTCGATAGAGAACGCGGAGCGGGACTCACGCGTATTTACACAGCGGTTCACACGACGGCCGCTCTCGAGCGACGTGTTCGATGCAACTGCGTACTCGAGGCGGCTCACGCTGCTGGCAGATATGGTGTTGCTAGAAGCCAATGCTTGCGCTGCCGCCGCCTGCAAACCTGCCTTTGTCAATATTATCGGTGCAGGTACATACGTCACTCACTGAACTCTCACTTTGATGATTCTTTTAATTATTAAATTTTCAGTCCTATTATTTTTTCATTATCCAGTATTCATTTAAGACTCTGCGTAGTATATATAATTGTACTCTGTACAATGTTCCACATCACAACCGTAGGTCTCGGCGCGTGGAGGATATCGCACCACCAGCTGGACCTGTACATCCTGACGTTCCTGCAGAGGATACACTCGCTGCTCGGCGACGGGGCTCTAAACAATGTATCTGACGTCAATTTTGCCTACATAGTACCTGTTGAAAGTGTGCTTCGTAAGTACTTTGACCTCTCTCTCTTCGTTTACTTCATTACTGAGAGGGTCTTGTCCTTGAAAAGTGTCTGTTGCCTCTCTTATGATGTTACTCCATTGCGTACGGTCTTCAGCCTCTCGCAGCGCAGCTGCAATTGATAGTTCCGTAACGACGGTTACTTGGTCCGACCATCGATCGTGCTTTGACCTATTAAAGCATATTAAACATGAAACATAAAGAAAACTCAAAAGTAATAGTTAAATTTAAATTTGATATTTTTTAATGCAATTTGAACGACACAAGAGATAAAAAGTAATACTTATCCTTTATGAGTATACTTTAACAGTACAATTAATATCACAAAACTATAATGTAATGTCTATTTTATCCATCATGCGTTGACATTGCTGAAGATTAAAACGTTATGCCTCTACCATATTATTTCATTGCTCTTCAAACTGAAACAGACACGTGAGTGATACAAAGGTATCCATGCAGACAAGTTTTGTACAAATTCTCTTTCTGATAAAAAATTTGTATGTGTATTGATAACTATTTGTACTATGAGTAGTAAGTATGACCACGTTTCTAATTTCCGCTCACAACTCAAATGGTTGACCATTCGTAACCGCAAAGACTTACGTATACTTTGCACACTGTTCTCTATCCTCAATGATCCTTCCTCTCCTACTTATTTGAAAGATAGATTACAGTATCTCAAAGACTCCCATACCCTTAATCTTCGGTCATCTCATAATCTCCTCCTCATCACCCCATCTCATAATGCTTATCGTTGTTTTAATTTATGTATATATATATATATATATATATATATATATATATATATATATATATATATATATATATATATATATATTTCATATGTATTAGTTTATCCATATATATTAAAAGTAATATGTGCATTTCTTATGTGTGTATTATATTTATATTGTGTATTGCCTTAATGTGTCACTATAATTGTCACATATTTTTCACCACATCTGCCCTTCATACGCTTTCTGTTTTTACCCAATGGTTAGCTGGTAGAGAATGCCATATGGCATTAAGCTCGCCATTTGTACAAAATTTTATTGTGCAATAAAGAATAAATAAATAAATAAATAAATGTACTTTAATATTTTTAATTAAATGCCTCTACCAGTAGAATGCTAATACCTTGTATATCTTGTTTCAGCTTTATTTATTTCTGAGAACGAATCTTCAACGGTAAAAAAACTCTTTCTTGAAAATGAAGCACATCCTAAAGGTAACAGCTATCTATTTACGTAAAAAACGTTTGATAATTTAATAATATCTTCCAAGTCTGTCTTTTCTGTCCTAGGAGGCATCAGCGTGCAGGTGGAGAACCGCGAACCGTCGTCCGCGCTGGTCGGCGAGCACGCCGGCAAGCTGCTCGTCATGACGTACGCCTGGGACGGGAACGCGCACCCCGGCAACGAGTTCTGGTGCGTACTCAGCCTTGAAATGTTTGAATGACATAGATTGCATCTAACTTTTCTGTTATCCACTTGCTGGTGTCGTAGACTAGTTTTTCAATAGATATGTTTTCACTGCGGCATGCCGAAGATAGAACGAGATATCCGGATTCTGCGCTGGCTTATATAGATAGATGTATAACTTATTTGCATTACTTACAGCACACAAATAACAACGGACAAAGAGATAAAAAAAAAGATCTAATAATTCCAGGGCAGGTAACTTGACGTCGTCGGGCGACCCGGCGGCGGCGTGCTCGACGCAGGTGAGCGAGCTGCACAGCGCGGCCGTCAACCCCGCCGTCTGCGGCCGCAACGCGCGCGTCGCCGCCTCGTGCGGCCTGCGCTCGCTCGCAGCCGCCGCAGCGAACCTCGTTTGAACACCTAGCCGAGTTATATTATCTGTGATTGTACAAAGATTTGCGTTACAATCGCATTAGCATGGTCGGCGATTGGTTTGTTCTTAAAAGTTACTCGTACCTGCACCTCTAGCGAATAGGTTTGAAAATTGAATTTCTATACTAACTTGTTGACATAAACATGAAACGTGACGTAATCATGAGATAAACTTTTGTACAACTCACACTAGCCACAGGCCCCAGTGTGAGTGTTTAGCGTGAGTTGTACTAAAAAGTTTACAATCGCATTCACGTTGACTCGAAAAGATTGAAATTTTATTTTTATTGAACTTTGAACTGCGCATCTACTCGTAAGTGATAGTTTCGAATACTCAAATTTGCATACAATCTTATCGACATAAATGTAAACGCGAAAGTTACGTAAGTCTTTGTACAAGGCACGCAAAACAGTTGACCGCATTATGAATTTGAAGAATAAACTATTTATATGAAAATTGTAAACCAATTATAATTAAATTATTCTAAACTTTTTTATTTCCTAGTTCTTGTTTTATTAAAATCCTTACTTAAGTAGGTTTTTTTTAATGGGTGTAAATGAAATAGTAACCTCGCCTCCGCTATTGATATACGCTAGCGGGACACTAGTAAGAAATTATAAAGTTCACTGGTACAGAATGTCTAGCATTAGGTTTGCCTTTTGTACCACATTTTATTAGACAATAAAGTTTAAATAAATAAATGATAGGTGAAGATAAAAACAGGTCAGTTGGCCCGTCGTGACGAATTCAACAAAAACGGTAGTTTACAGAGGGAACCACCCGGAGGTTGGCGTAATTGGATGGATGGATATATTTCAATAATGGGGCTTTTAGGCCCCCATTACTAATAATCCCTTCCTTCCAGCTTGGTGGGTCCTACCTAACTCGATATAGTTTTATTTGGAGTTTTTCCTCTTTTGCACTGGTCATACCTCTTCGACCTCCTGCCTGGGTATGAAAAGGAATGGTGACATTTGCATTCTTAGATATATCGCCACACGGACAACCTACGTAGTGTATATAATAAATGATTCATAAAGAGGTCATCATTCCCGAGCTACAACAACAAGTAAAAATATCTATTGACACGAGCGAACGTCTCTTCTTCAGAACATAAACAAGTAAATACGTTCAATAAACAAAACACAGCGTAACAATTCAGAAGGTAAATAACATGAAAAACATATGAATGGGTTTGTTTACAATTGTAGGACTAATAATACTACGTAGTATACACGCGTAGTACTATACACGTGGGCTCTATTTCTGTGTAACCAACCGGCTACAAACGTTAGTTAAAATATACTAAACGTTACTTAACATCATTAATCGATACTAATTCATTAATCATCGCCGCATCAAAGTCATCATGAGATTATAACGTATTTTTTCATAAATAAGTAAATTAATGGTACTTAGTTTTAGCTATTAATGTGATATAAATAATCACAGTTTGAAATCGGTTGTAAGCGCCATCTGTCATGGAATAGCAGTGATGGATTTAGATTTGACGCCATGCAAAACTCTTGTTTAAAGTGCAAACTTTGTATCTTTGAGTTTGTGTAACGTGGTAGACGGTGGCGCAATATGGAGTGATGTGGAGTGCGGGGCGCCAGCCGTAACCGGTTTTAGACGCCGATCGACGAGCAGAGAGAATGATTTCTTTACCTTGCTTACATTATCCTCTAACACCACAGATTACAAACCGCGTAGAAGATATTCCGTTTGCAGAAAAAAAATATTGTTTTTCAAATTTTTTAAACTAAATGACTTTTTATAACAGTAATAGATAGATACTTACATAGGTTCCTGCCTACCTGTATGCTTTATTTTTCCTTGCTATTTTCCTTATAGTTACTAACTACCTAATGGTAGGTAGTACCTAGGAAAATAGCAATATAATCACATTAGTGATTCATCGTTGATATTATAACACAGACTTTTATTTTATACTTATTTTACAAATTTAAAAAAAATTATTTACTTTATTTTCATTAAATATGCATAAATTATTTTACTGCTCGCAGCAATTTTTTTTTACAAATGTAAATACCGCAATTGCACTGTGCAATCAAGTTCGACAGTGCTTGATTTCTGCTTATTATTTTATTCATGGTACTTGCCTTGTTGACTGACTCATTCGTCCCGCGGAGTGCGGGATAGCGGGGTCGTCTAATGGTCAGCGAGCGAAAGCATAAAATAACCACAAATAATAGAATATAGTAATTATTTAATTCAATTAGTAACAGAGTGTTGTACCGTTGCCTTCTTTGGACTTCAGTAAATAAACCGAATAGGTACGTATATAGGTAGTACTTACAGATTATAACTTGATCTCAATTCCAACAGCCAACGATAGCTGAGAATGTGTTTTACTGTTATAAAATAAATATTAACATTTTATTTCACATAATATGCATGTACAGTATATACTTGATACTTGCTTTATGCTAACCACCACCTTTTTGACCCCAACTACCTGCCACAAGGAAGAGTATGTTTTATGTGGGTATGTTATGGGTGATAATAGAATGATAACCCCATCAGCGGTATCTATGTATACCAGTAAGAGGCGATAGATAAAATCAGAAAAGATGGCGTGAAAATCGACCTGACAAGGTATCTTTTTTATACGACAAAGGTAACAGACAATCATAGAACCCTTCTGATGATAAATGGTCACTGTAGCCTATGGACGCCTGCAACACTAGGGGTGTCACGTGCGCGTTGCGTGTTGCCGGCCCTGAAGAAACCTTCATATACCCTTTTTAAAGAACCCTAAACTGAAGTCTGTAGAGAAAACCTCGGCAGGGAGCACATATCACAGCCTAAACGATCGTATGAGAAAATATCTTTGAAACCGCAAGGTATATTGCTAACAGTGGAACTATTAATCCCCATTACTAACAATCTCCTTACCCCGGTCTGGGTAACCTCAAATTAAGTTCTCTTATTCAAATCGATTAAAATTAACAAATTATCCTCGTTTCCAGGTGTCAAAACAATAAAAATGGATGTCGTTCAAAAACTCCAAAATATATGCTGGTAAGATGAATTTTGTTACATTCTTATGTGTAGGGAACGCGAATTCAATAATTCATTAAGAGTTCATTACGGTAAGGTAACCTTTAGTAGGTATTCTCTTTTTATTCTTGTTTTTCTTATTCTTCTCCAGGTGCAAAGAACCCTGGGGTCCTCCAATTATAAGCGAAGAAGCGAAAGAGTTACTAAGAGAATGCACAAACGTAACTCAACCAGAACTAATAGATGATCTCCAAGAAATCATCAAGAGAAGCAACAACTTCCCCATTGCGTTTCCAATTGACACGGTCAGGTAGGTACTTAAATAAAACCATTATTAAATTATATTTTTACACATTATATGTTATGATTTATATTCAATCCCTATAAATATTTTCTCCTTTCGGGTTCTCAAAGTTGACTGGAAGAAATCCGTTTAAGGGATAAGTCCGCCTGTGTACATTTTGTTATCAGCTTGAATATACAAAAGCATATAAATTAATAAAACAATAGTTGTGTGATCTGTAGTGCGAGGCGAGTTACTGTGACGTAAGTCTTGTCCCTACTCACCCTTAAAAATAATTCCAGACAGAGTCGTAATGATTATCCGAAACAACACACCTAGTGAATTCGCTAAATTCCAGTCATCCAGTTGTACGTCATCTTACAGCGTTTGCAGACATGGATAGATAACATCACCGCATAGTTCTATGGATGATGATCATTTTAACTCGCTTCTTCTAAATAAAACAACACTAATCATTATTAATTCATTTGCATTTTTATCTGTACCTTAAGATATCTTTACCATTTCTAAACCAATTTTAATAATCCTCTTTAAAGGTTTAAATAAGGTTTAATTTTTTAATATTTTTACTATAATTTTGTCTATTTAAAATAACTTTTTGTGTTGCGAAGTAAAATCTTAAGTTATTTCAATTCTTTTTTTGTGTTTTTGTTTATCTACCGAGTAGAACTTTACAAAATGTACTTTAGTTTTTTATTTGCTATTTTCTTAAATTTGATTACTTGCACTTATTACACCTGACCTACCTAGTAACCTTAATTTTCAGATTAAAAAATCTTATAAGAAGAAGACCTATTGAAAAACTGAAAGAAAATGTGAGGTCCACTTACCCTCTACTTCATGAACGGGTGCTGATACTCATGGCGAACTTTCTGGTCTTCAAGAGGTTGGAGTAACTATTATAAGTACTAAATCATAACATCTAGTCTTCTCCTGTTGTATCTAAGCTGCCTTGAAGAGTTATGACGAGAAATTTTATCATAATTTCAGGAAATACGGGTCGAACATCGAAAAGGAACTATATTCCAAGATGTCCGTTATAGAACTCATTGACAGGATACTGCAAAAGCGTGCTGTGTGTTTTATGTCCCGACGGGATATTTACAAACTTCGAACAGGCGAGATGGGGTGAAGTAAAATTTACTTTTGATATGAAGTTTTAAGGTAGGTATTATATTTATTTATAGTATATGTATTTATGTAATATTTTATTATATATTTTAATATTTTATTTAACTGTATATTTGTTTATGTACTTACACTAAATATTAATAGTTGTAGTAGTTAATACTTCAGCTGCCCGCTAACGAAATGCTTTCTTACTGTACTGGGTTGACTGGAAGAGGTCTCTGTCAGAGATATGCCCACCCTTGCTCACAATATTTATAAATGCATTAACAATGTAATTTACAAGTGCAATAAAGAATATATATGTTTTTGAAATAATTGTACACCACTGATAAAAGAAACTTCTACACATAATAGTCTTAATTTTTTTTTATAAGTATCTTAAAGGTTTGTATTAAAAGAAGGTAATTCTGCATTAGGGCAGGTGGCTGGGAGAACATTGGTACTCCACAGGAGTACCCTCCGCTGGTGCTGGCTGACTACCTGAGCTATGACGAGCTGAAGCTGTCCGCGCTGGTGTCCGTCAGCGGGCCCACCGCCTGCATCAACGACGGCGCGCGCCGCAACTCCGGCGTCGTCAAGGAAGACAACATTGAGACTGATGCTATTATAATTGGTAAAAATTTGCCCACAATTTGAAATAAGAGAAGCAGATCTATTAAATTCCTGAGTTCGTTAGATTTTCTTGTTGAAACTGGAGTTATCGAACTTTTGAATGAACACAGTGATTTATGTTATCGACGACTTATAAAAGGATATGGGAAATAATTAATGAAAATATTCAAGCAAATTTTAAACGTGTATGTATTTAAAAAGACTGACAATACTCGTAACAAATTTATCACTGAGCGCAACCTCGCATGCGTCACATCAAGTACTATTTATTTTCTATAAATAGAATCAATGCAAAATAAGTATATGATTTGTAGTGCTATGTGAACCTTAAACTTGTTTCGTTATTGAAGAGTGCCATTATAATTATACGCTTCTATTTATGATTATAAATAAGTACTAGGTGATCGATTCCCATTGAAACCCCTTTAATTAAATTCCCAGTATTAAGCCTTCCTTTATTCACAGTTATTTAAACTGTATTGTTACATATTATTTTTATCTTCGATATAATAGTGCCACTTTCTATCATCGGTATTGCTCGCCATCGACAGGGAGTTCACCTCTATACCTTAGAGCTCAGATGCGGGCAACGCGGTTGTTGATGATTATGTTGATGTTTACTCCCACGAACACTCGGGTTATAGAATAAGCGAAGTATTTCCAAGAGACTTCTTCAATAAAAGGGTAGAGAGGTTTCTTCAGGGTCGGCAACGTGCGCGTTATGCCCCTGGTATTGCAGGCGTTCATAGACTACGCTAACTGCTTACCATCCAGTGGGCCGTATGCTTGTTTACCACCTCAGGGGTATAAAAATATAGTTATTTATAATATCTTTGACCGATTAATAATGAACTTATACCTAATTAATATATTGTGATAAATAGGTTACAATGAAATAATTAAAATTGTCTGGTCGCCAGATTAACTAGGATAGGTTAGGATTCTATGTAATGTTACAAACCAGCCAGTCAAAATCTGAGGACTATACAGAACTGCGGAGTAAAGAAATATTCTGTTGAGCCATAATCCAATAATATCATGCATCCGGCGGTGTTGGTTATCGTTGCAGGAGTCATAGGGCCTCGTTTCGAGCGTCCAGGTCGCGTTGACTGCGAAGACATTCTTATTACGTATGAACAGAACTGCGCGGAGAATGGCTATGGACCCCTCCCTACTGACGTGCCCGTGACAGCAAAACATATGTGGAGGAAATTATGGGCGGACTTTTATCAGGTTATGTGTTTTCTTTAAGTATGATTTTTCTACTAACGCTGATAATACTCAAACCTTTTCCAGTTTTCTGGCGTTGACACGGCAGTTTTGTCTGCACTTTGATCTTAATTTAGTTACCTTCTCATTCAACTTCTCATGTGAAAGAAATTCAAAGAGGTTTCAAAGAGAATAAGATTCATAAGAATAAGTTTATTTTCTTAAACAAAATTAGCCTATGGTACAATATAACCATGACTTCAAGACAAAACTTATCCCGTGAAGTCAAAGCAAAAAATTGAACAGTTGTAATGCGGTAAACAGTGTTAATTTTTTATTATTATTATTCAAATGCGTAGTTTGAATGTGCATATGTGAGTCTACGTGCGTGCGTGCGTGCGTGTGTTCGAGCGTATGTGAGTGCGTGCGTGCGTGCGTTTGTGTGACATCAGATTTTGGAAGTGTATGGATAAAGAAATAAAGACACGTCAAACAAGCATGTTCAAGTTCACTTATCTACAGATTAGAAAACTAAGTCAAGTTTTTTCGAGCATATGAAAGAGTATAACATCGTAATCGGCGTGGCATACCGTATGCGGTAGCACATACGTTCCAGAGTCCTGTCTTCGGTGATGTGCAATCCGCTGGTCGTGTTTACCCACGATTATCGCTTTCTACGAAGTGAATTGACAGATTGCTTGTCTTTCCAAACTGCATATTTTTTTATGATCAGACGGAGGGCGGGGTGGTATCAATACAGGATGTTAAGGTCCACCCTCTGCTTAGATCTCGAGTGTGACATATGCGGAGCTGACATCGAAGGTGACGCGGATAGAGGAGGCGGCGCGCGACCGGCGCGTGTTCACGGAGCGGTACACGCGGCGCCCCGTCGGCTGCGGCGCGCTGGTCGCGGCCGCGTGCGGGCGGCGCCTCGCGCTGCTCGCCGACGCGGCGCTGCTGGAGGCCGACACCCGCGCCGCCGCCGCGAGCAGGAAGCAGAAACGCCTTCGTCAATATCATTGGCGCAGGTATATGAATACATCATACATTGAATGGTTCTTTTCTTTTAAACGAAAAATTCACGGTGGCTCTCGTTCCACGACAGGGGAAAATGTAAAATTCGTTTGATAGTCAACGATTACTTATAGGCTATGACCAATTATAGCACCAGATAAGACTTATGTACTTCTTTAAGGGCCCTATGCAGTAGTGTCTAAAAAAACATTGTAAAGTAATTCAAAGCATAAAGTGAATATTTACAGAAGGAGTCTCCCGTGCAACGCGTGCGGTATGACGATTCCTATAGATAACAACGATACGATGCCTAAATAAAAAATGGAATTATATGTAAAATTTTAAGTATTCTGGCTCTATAATTATCATTGTCATAGATCATTCAAGACTCTGCGTAGTATATATAATTGTACTCTGTACAATGTTTCACATCACAACTGCAGGTCTCGGCGCGTGGAGGATATCGCACCACCAGCTGGACCTGTACATCCTGACGTTCTTGCAGAGGATACACTCGCTGCTCGGCGACGGGGCGCTGCACAACGTGTCCGATGTCAACTTCGCTTACATAAAACCTGGGGACAGTGTGCTTTGTAAGTAATTAAACATAATTTATTTCCGGAAGTTTAAACCTTTAACAATTATAATTTAGACTAGCAATAAAACATATTCGTCCCTGTTTTGGTAGGCACCATCATCATCATATCAACTTTATTCTGTCCACTACTAAATATAAGCCTTCTCCTCGAGGGGTTTTGCCTGTAGTCAACTCGTTTGACAGGCGGATTGGCAACCGCAGTTAGGGTTTAGAGATGTTTTAGGAAAGACGCTGCTGTCTATCCCTCCACCATAAGCTTCCTTAATCATCTCTTACGACATTCACAAGAAAAGAAAGAGTGGTCTATTCTATGGCGGGACCATATGGTAATAACAACATTTTGATAGATATGCAAAACAATAATTTCATGTTGCACGATATCTTCATTCTTCACAATTTTTTTCTAATCGACAGTCGGTTTACTCCTAAACTTAATTTTTCAAGCAAGATATACACATCATTCTACGAGTTTCATTATAATAATAATTTATATATTTTTTATATCTTGTTTTAGCATTGTTCAACACCTCTGCCTCAGAGAATGGATCTACAAGAGAGACAAAACTGTTTCTTGAAAATGAAGCACATCCTAAAGGTAACAGCTATTTACGTTAAAAACATTTAATAATTTAATGATATCTCCCAAGTCTGTGTTTTCTGTCCTAGGAGGCATCAGCGTGCAGATGGAGGACCGCGAGCCGTCGTCCGCGCTGGTCGGCGAGCACGCCGGCAAGCTGCTCGTCATGACGTACGCCTGGGACGGGAACGCGCACCCCGGCAACGAGTTCTGGTGCGTACCTATGCACTTCCGGCTTCCGGAACATCTACTCGAGCTACAAATTAAATAGGAGCAGGCAGAAGATTAAAACAGCATAAACAAATGTACCTCATACATATGTGGTACTCATATAGTAAATACGATTGCTTATAAATTAATTGTGCAAGTAAACTCGTAATTGTAAATGATGCAGCGTTTACACGAGTTTAGTAGCAAACTGTTGCTGCAAGTACTCATCACTACACCAATAAAGATTAATGAATATGAATGAGTCTTAGGAATGATTTTTATTTGCATTATATTTGCATTATACAATATACTGTCTAGCTACTCTTATTACAATTTACTATTATATTTCTTGTGGTTGCCAAATCATGTGAAATAAATAACAATAGGAAGCGATTTTCATAGGAATATATAAAAAAAATATGCAGAGAAAACAGTCGCTTAAACGTCGAAAATCGCGACGCGCATTGCTATATATTCGTACTAATCCCGAACACTGGCATTTCTCATACATGCATAAGATGAGTGCACGCAAACCAATGAAACATTAAGGTCCGATGCTCTTTCAAACGACTTTAAAAAGAAGGTTCTCAATTCGCTCGTATTTTCTGTTTATTACTTTATAACTCCTTAAGTTCTAAACCGATTTAGAAAATTCATAATATATCTAAAAACATTCTACTTAGGTACAAATTGGTTCCATAGAAATCTTTACAAAATTATTTCAGTAAAAATAACTGGTTTTATCACAATTGAAGTTTTTTCTTTTTTTTTTTTTTGTGGGACATATTTTGTATGCAGTCTGATCGAGTACATATAAGCAGCGGCCACTGACTGTACTCTACTGTACGCACATGATTATGTCAATTCCAGGGCAGGTAACTTGACGTCGTCGGGCGACCCGGCGGCGGCGTGCTCGACGCAGGTGAGCGAGCTGCACAGCGCGGCCGTCAACCCCGCCGTCTGCGGCCGCAACGCGCGCGTCGCCGCCTCGTGCGGCATGCGCTCGCTCGCAGCCGCCGCCACCGCTGCGCTCCGTACGCGCCGTGAATCGTTTACAATGATTTAATTTATTTTTCTCAAACATGCTTGGAAATGTGAGCATTATTTTGACAATCTTCTTAGAGATAAATCAAAATTGCCGTACTGGCTAGATACATGCGGGTAGCGGCCGGCAAAATTTTGTATGAAAATCTATATCTGTCGTGTTTTGCGGCCAGATAAATTACTATGTAAACTCATATCTGTCCTGTAATTTAAAAATAGAATGACCTTTTACTTCGAAACATGGCTACCAAGAATGTAACTAATACAAGGTTTTATTTAAATTTCGAACTGGCTTGCAAATAGAAAGTTGTTTATTAATAAAACAAAGGAACATTATGTTGCGTGAAAAATTATTATTGTTCGTTATTCGTCATTGAACTTAAATAGTAAAATTGTGTTTTTGATTTCCGCGCATTGTTTGAGAAAAGTGCTATACAAGCCTTGGCCACAACTAGGCATTGATGGACTCACGTATGTGTGCCTCGGCGACGCCTCGGGCCACATTTGCACGTTCGTCCATCAATGCCTCAGTTGCTGGCCGCTGCAGTAATGTACTATTATCACGAGCTTTTTTTTCTTCTTTTAATAGTAAAAAATATTATTTCATTATAAATATAAATAAATTGTATTTTTTACAAGCGATTTATTTTATTCCCTGTCTTGATAAAAATTTAACGGTTGGCAATCACTGCCACTGAACTTGTTAAAACAAAATTGCCCTATTTTTACTATCACCTTAGAGCCCGCCTCAAATAGAGGTAGGTAGTGATCTCCACAAGCAATTGGCGGTAGAAGATTTAGAATAAAGGGAAGAGGAATGAACAGAAAGTTTGAGACTTGTTTTATTTGCTCATCAGTGAGGTCTAAATAACAGGAGTCAGCATAATTGAGAATACTGGTAATGTAATTTTTTTTATGGCTGATAATAGAATTGTAGCCTCCCTCCGCTATCGGTATACGCCGGCGGGGCACCAGTGAAGGATGATAGGTGAGGATGAAGCAGGTCAATTAGGCCACCGTGACGAATCTAAATCAATCACGATAGTTTCCAAGGAAAACCACAATAAGGTTGATCTGATATAGTATATTTTGCTAGAAATGGGGCTACTAATCCCCATTACTAACAATTCCTCCTCCCACTGGTAATGTATTAGCACCCCATCAAAAACCTATTTGTGTTTTTAATTAATAATCATATATAAAAAACGAGAAAAATATAATGTTGCAGTCAGAATCCTCATTATTGTGATTAGGTACTTAGTCAGGTAGGTCCGTATAAACTGCGAACAACATTTAACATTAAGTTAATATTTATTGTAAAATTTTATTTTTATTGTATTGCACTATAAAGGGCAGTGATAATGAAAAATACCTACCTAAAGAATAAATAATCGTATCCGAATAATATGCAGTAAGTGATAGACATCTGTACACTAATTGCCTTGACGCAGAAGTTGTTTTGGAACCGTTACAAAAAACGATCACACGATTTTTGTTTACAAAACATGATGACGGTTTCATAGAATCGCGCGAGGGGTGTGTGGCGTGTTTTCGCACGGAAGCTATAAACATTGTATGTAAACCACTGACGCGAACGAAAATTGATCAGTTACAATTTTTCATTCGCGGAAGCAACAATTATAATCAAATATATAGTTATAATCAGACATAAAAACAAGAATATCATATATAAAAAAATAAAACCGTGACTACTTGTACGAATATTGCACAATGTGGACTTAACCTAACTACCTACTGTCTGATCTATTGAACCCTATCATGAATATATATTTAGCTCAGGTATTTAGACATCTATAAACCTTATGTTTAGATATCTATGAAACAAAAGTGAAAGTGATAATTTTCGTTGTGATTGGCAGCATTGACAGATCATTCGATCTGACGTCAAGTTGACGTCACTGAAACTGTCACCGATTGTCATATCAGTTCGGTGATATAAGTTTATTTATATTATTCCGCAACGGTCGTGTTGTAGTATTGAACTTCGAAGAGTAATTTCTAGATGAGATTACGAAACAAACGTTGATTAACTATAACTATCTACTTAATTGAAATAAAAATATCAACCGTCTGTGCGTTGCCTTGGTTTTTCGGTTATAATTTTAACAAATACATTCGAAGGCTACTGTTAGTCGTGTTCAATTCTAGTGTTTTCTTTTCTCGAAGTTCGTATTGAATTCGTAGCGTGGAACTATAAACCTTGACTTGTCTAGCGTCAATGTTAAATTTTATGTACTATGTAATGTGAATTATTGAATAAAAATGTCGTCGTTGGGAAGCCAGTGGAGATTAATTAGACATTATCTCTCTGTATCCAATTTGAATGCAGAACTCGAGAAGCTGATACAGAAAATTAAACCTGTGACTCCTGAACAGTGGGACAGTAAGTTGTACAACATATTCTCGAACATTACAACATTAGTTACTATTTCGAATCTGATAGTTTACAGTGGATATTGTACCAAAGTGCATAACAATGGGTATGGTATTATTTCTGATTCACCTAAAATTATTGCAGTAGCCAAGTTCTGTTCATGCCTCTTGGCTTGAGATGAGCAGCATCAACATTGTCTTACATGTTACATATCAAAATAGCTGGGGGGAAAGAGATTGTAAGTAATGCACACTACCATTCTTGCACTCCCATTGCTAGCAATATGGGGTACATTGCTGTCTGGTCAGGTTGACCTCCATTTGATCCCCCCTGGAAACTATCATGTTGAATTCCAGGTGTATTTATCACAATGGGCTAACTGCTCTTTCATTTTCACTTATCATCCCTAACTGGTGCCCAACCAGTGTATACCAATAGCGCAGGTGGGGTTACCATTCCATTAAAAAAAATAGCCTAATGGTTACCACACACTAGATAGTGGGCTCGATTCTGATATGCCATTCATTGTTTTTGTATCTAAAGTAAAAATTTTAAATGTGTAGTTCAACAAAAGTTTTTCTTTTTATTTCGAGTCATCAAGAAGTGAACTTGAAGTAGTCTGACTCAAACCTATACATTTGATGTTGCAGATTCTTATAACAATTTTGCTACAATATCAAACTTATTATGTTTATGACATATATATAAATATAACATATGTATACATAAATTAATAATTGCAATCTAACTAGATTGAACTACTGAACCACAAAAAAACTCAGTTTTGAACTCAAAACTGAGTTTTTTTGTGGATCAGTGATTAGGAATAGTTTAGAAATAGAATGGTGTTTCAGAATTTATCCCATTTATATTTATTGAAACTATATCAACCAATACAATGGGGTACAAAAGACAGACTTAAAATACTAATGTATAGAAAAGATGAGTAGATATTGCAGTGGGCAGCTTGCCCATTGTAATAAATAAAAATATCTGCTGATCTAATATGATGCTGCTGCTAATATGATTTGACTGCACTCTTTAAGATATCCACTGATTGTTTTAGTAATTATAGTTAATGAATAGCAATAATATCAACATATTTTAAATGAAAAGTAAAATTATAATTGTAATCAATTAATTACATTGTATTACAGATTTAATTAACAGATTTGAAAAAGCGGTATCTGTAAGACTGTTACAAGGAATAAAACAAATAGAGCAGACTGAAAATAAAGATCAATATGTGGTAAAGTCCACTACTGTTGAGGAAACAAAACCTGTTACCAAAGATAGCACCGAGAAAAATGAGGAGAAAAAAGAAGAGAAAGTTGATGATGGTCTGACGGTGGGTTCGGAGGCAAAGGAAATTACATTTGAAGGGCTGTGGCGGGGTCTCAAGTTGAAAAAAGACCTCACCTTGGGAAAAATGTCAGAGCCCAGCTGGAAGTCCAATAAACCAATCATCACTAAGGTACCTATAATATCAACTTTGTTCTAAATTTCCTTAGACATATTATTATTATGTTTTCCATAACGACCACAGTGTGACTGTAGATATTGATACATGAGATATTAAGAAATTTTAAAATAACTTTCCAATATCACAGCACAAGGATGAGTCAGGAACTACATCCATTCATGGTTGACTGCCTGTACTCACATACAAATAAGTTTGCCAACTCTTACATGAACTGTACTGTCACAATGTGGAATGGCCTTTCTCGAAACATGTTTCCTTCATCCTACTAGCTTGGATTCTTTATACATGGAGTGAAAAAGTTCTTAGTGAGCTGGCACTGACTGAGCTGAGTGGCAGTCAACCTTTTTGAATAAGGAATAAATACCCAATACAGCTTTCATTTTTATTAATAGTCAACTGATTTATTATATTCATGGACTACATATATTATCTCTGTGGTCAATTAGGATTTTAGAAAAAAAATTAAAGTAGAAAATTTTTTTTGAAATTCTTTCCAGAAACTCATTCTGTAAACAGGTTTCATGGAATGAGATTACTTTAAAATAATACTATCCTTAACTAGTTACATAGATTTTAATGTGAGAGTACAAGAGAATAACAGGAAACTGTGTGTGTGTGTGTGGTAATGCCTATAAATATTATTAAATTAATTTTAATATAAAAAGACTAGGTGGGCGTGATATGTGCATGCTAACATGATAACCTACTTGTTGATAATTTTTATGACAGAACACTTGTAATCTTCCACAGGTTTATTTTATTATATAAATTGTACAATGTAACATTTAGTGTTACACATATATTAAACATATTTAGAGAAAAGATGTAATGCTTGATAGTACACGCTCACTTACAATGACGAAAATATTGGCTCTTAACAAAATTAGTATGGAAATGACTAGAGTATTTTTTTTTTTTTTTTTTTTTTTTTTTTTTTTTTTTTTTTTTTTTACTAAAAAATAATTAAAATTTATTTAGAATAGATAAAGATATATACTAATAATAAGCGGTACAGCTGAAAAAAAAATATAATTGATAAGCTTTTTCTCTTATTTAAAGTTGCATAAACAATATTATTCCAGAACAAAATTATTCTAATCAAAGAGCAACAGTTCTCTTTTCACTGATAATTATGTCATCAAACTGAGATATGATTACATGAATGTACGTATCTAACTTGATATCAGTACAGATAATGCCTGAAAATAAATTGCTATCATATCTATTGTGGTGGTGCTCCTGTAACACGATTTTTTTTTTTTTTTTTTTTTTTTTTTTTTTTTTTTTTTTTTTTTTTTTAAGATATAGATTATTATTTGCATACAACAAACAATATTGCGTCATGAAAACAAAATAATAATGACATGCAGGAAATAATCACCTGTTTTTTTTTTTTTTTTTTTTTTTTTTTTTTTTTTTTTTTTTTTTTTTTTTTTTTTTTTTTATTTTTTTTAATTTTTTTTTTTTTTGTTTTTTTTTTTTTTTTTTTTTTTTTTTTTTTTTTTTTTTTTTTTTTTTTTTTTTTTTTTTTTTTATAAAACAAAGCTAAAAGCAGGTTGTTTTATATTTGTCTATAATCATCGCCTAATCTCAAATAGAGATGTCTTTCAGTTAATATTTTGGATATTTTAAAATGTTATTATAGATTACCCAATCGATTATTTCCTCATTTGTGTCATACTAATTTTGTTGTTTTTTTTTTTTTTTTTTTTTTTTTTTTTTTTTTTTTTTTTTTTTTTTTTTTTTTTGGGAAGCAAACTACTGCTTCTTTTACTGCGTTAAAACATAACATTCTTTAGTCTGCAAATATTCAGATATATATAACATTTTTATTAAAGAGATATTCTATAAAAAGTCGACTGCATGATCACTGAGTCAGGAATTTGAATCGTGCTTGGGTAGCGTAACTATTGGCCCCTCGCCGGTGTTGCAGACGTCAATCCACTCGCGCACGGCGTACGTGATCGCCGCCATTGAGGACGCGGTCGCCGAGCCCAGCCTGCTGCGCCGCGCACAGCACTTCGTCGACCACCTGCAGCAGTACCCGGAGGCCAGGGACTACGCCATCAAGGTGACACTTATTGAATACTCTACAACCTGCATCCGCGAAACGCCACTAGAGCAGCGAACGATTTAACGGTCCATCTGATTCAAAATAGTGACCGTCGCTTATAAATATAAAGCACCATGGACTGGGGTCCAGAGTACTGCGGTCAGTAAGTTTAAGTTAGACTAACATCAATTCGATCATAAAAATAATAAATAATTCTTTGATACCTGTTCAGTTATTATTGGAAATAGTAGATTTGAGTTCTTTTTCCAGCATAGCAATAAAACATAATTCATGTTATTTGTGTTGTAACTGCAGGAAGGCGCGGTGAGGGCGCTGCTGCGGGTGCAGGACAGGCTGTCAGACGAGCCCGTCGGCAGGGAGCTCGGCGGCATCGTTGCAGAGGTACACCCTCCACACGTGTTGCATATGCATTTACTCTCTCTTTGTTCAGGATGACTTTTACCATAACTCTGCGTACTCAGTACCTATACATTTTTTGTGATAATGAAATTGAGCTAGTCTGGCGCGGCTCGTGCGATTGAGCTCCACGACTACATAGACTCGAGCTATATTATTAGCTCAAGGATGATATAGCTTGCTAGAAGAAATAGTAATTATGGAAAATGTTGAAAGTCCGGAACATGAAGTGAGATCAATATTTGAAATTCAGTGCGGGCACGGCACGTATTGTCACATCGCAGGCGCTGGCGCTGCTCGGGTACGTGGAGCCGCCGCGCGGGCCGGGCCCCAACATCCTGTCGCTGGACGGCGGCGGCATCCGCGGCCTCATCGCCATCGACCTGCTGCGCGAGCTCGAGACCCTCACCGGCCGCCGCGTGCACGAGCTCTTCGACTTCATCATCGGTGTCAGCACCGGCGCCATCATCGCCTCCGTCATCGGTCCGTATTCCTCCTCCACTTGGAACTTTATGCATTTGTAGGAGGCTTCTCGAATTCCTCCAAGTAGTAAAAGTACTTAATATTTGTATTTCAGGTAGCGGAGTGGGCAATCTAGATACGGCCAGTGAGATGTATCACACATTATCGAAGAAAATGTTTGGCAACACTTCTGTGATCGGAGGTAATCATATACTACTAAGTATCGTTGGTGTCGTGTGTGGCTGGTGGTCGTAACATACCCATATAACGCTATGATGTGGACAGGCACGTCGCGCCTGGTGTGGTCGCACTCGTACTACGACACGCGCGCGTTCGAGGAGCTGCTGCAGCAGCACCTGGGGGAGCGCACGCTCAGCCAGTGCAACCGATACAACACGCCCAAGGTATCCTTGCTCATTATAATCTAATATCTATGATCTTATATGGATATGGACGGGTATATTGGGCCCCTTTACCTTGTAACTACCTTTTACTTGTTAGTAATAGATAAAATATAATTAACGAATTAAGGAAATAACGAAGGACGGACCGCCGCGCTTCCGCGCTGAGGAGAAGGACGATGTCTTGTTGAACCTGCATCCGGCGCCTCAGCGTCGGGAAGTACCGTACGTACTAAACGGAGGCAGCGTAGGTGAATCGCGAGCTGACGTAGGTCTTGTATATGGAGACCGTCGGCGTCAGCTTTCTCAAGAGGTCGGTTCGGAGAAGAATAGGATGGGGGAATACGCGCGCGATGTCCTTTGTTGACACTGAATTTATAATAGGGGCTGATCTACTTACCTCTTCCTGCGGTGTAATGGCGATAGGCTGTTTCTTCCCCCTACGGCCGCGGTGCATCCTAGCATTCAGTGGTGCCGCGGGCCGTAGGTTCGTTGGCTGGGATGCCGAACGCAGAGCCCGTCACCGTTGCAGATGCCCCACCTCCTAGCCTAGTCGGCTCGTACCGCACCGGCCCAGGTTGGCTAGTGGGGGACATCTCGCCGGAAGAGCAGACGCCTGGTCTGTAGGTGGTGGTGACGCTGCGGCTGCAGACGCTCTCCTACGCCCTTTGCTCTTGATTTCCCATGCGCCCGCCGCTACCGACGGCAGGGGAAGCGTTGGCACAATGCCCCTACGCCGAGCCTCCCTCTTGCAGCGGGTAGCGGCGGTCATTGTCCGTGCGAGCGCGGGCGCCGGCCGCCGGCTCTCCTGCGAGGCGGACGCGCCTGATAGAACGCGGCAATTGTTCGAGGCGTGGCCGAAAGTTTGGCACCGATGGTACTGTGCCATCATTATTGGTAGCGGGCCACTCCTCGAGTGATATCCGGTATCCACAACAGTTGAACAATACAAGTGAAACACACTGTGTGTTTCACTTGTATTGTTCACGGATGATGGGCGGGTATGACTTATCGAGCGAGGGTTGAGACTGCTAAATCGCTCCGTTGATCTGCGCGGTGCTGGAGGCCACGAGTGGCGGCGCAGATAGCACCGTTGCGCTGTCTCACGGTGCGGCAGGAGAGGCAAGGGGGCAGGCACGGGGTTCTCGATCATATACCTACATAGGACGTATTGTCTACGTAAAATATCTTGACCGGATTTTCGATGGCACGAGGGAGGGAACCGCTCAAGTGACTTGATAGGACATGTCGTACACGTATTAGGTGTAAGAGGGGGTAAGGGGGAGAAGGTGTAAAATAAGCGTGGTGAAATAAGATGTGGCGTGCGTGCAGATGGCGCTGGTGTCGTGCGTGGTGGGCGGCGGCGGGCCGGGTGGCGCGGGCGGCGAGGGCCGGCTGTCGCCGTTCGTGTTCCGGTCGTACGCGAGCGCGTTCCGCGCGCGGCCCGCGTACCCGGGCACGGCGCGCGCGCGCCTGTGGCACGCCGTGCGCGCCTCCGCCGCCGCGCCCACCTACTTCGAGGAGTTCCGCCTCGACGGCCTGCTGCACCAGGACGGCGGCCTCATGGCCAACAACCCGGCCGCGGTGGGCGTGCACGAGGCGCGGCTGCTGTACGGGCCGGCCGCCGCGCGCCGCGCCACGCTCGTGTCGGTGGGCACGGGCCGGCCGCCGCGCGTCGCCCGCGCCCGCGCGCTCGCCAACACCTCCTGGCGCGACAAGTTCGACACGATCCTCGACTCGGCCACCGACACCGAGGGCGTGCACCAGGTGCTGAGCGACGTGCTGCCCGACGGCGCCTACTTCCGGCTGAACCCGCCGCTGCTGCAGCCGTGCGCCATGGACGAGACCGAGCCGGCGCGGCTGGCGGCGCTGCGCGCGGACGCGGCCGCCTACGCGCGCCGCAACCGCCACAAGCTGGAGCGCGTGGCCGCCGCCCTCACGCGGCCGCGCCCGCCGCTGCAGCGCGCGCTCGACGCCGCCGCGCGCCGCGCGCGCCTGCTGGGGCTCGCGCCCGCCGACTGACCGCCCGCCGCCCGCCGCCCGCCGCCCGCCGCCCGCGACTACTGGCACCGGCGCCCGGCGACTGACCGCCCGCGCCCCGCCCGCCACCCGCCGCCCGCGACTACTGGCACCGGCGCCCAGCGACTGACCGCCCACACCATCCGCCCCGCCCGGGCGCGCTGGGGCTGAACACCCGGCGACTGACCGCCCGCGCCCCGCCCACCACCCGCCGCTCCTACGCGGAGCTAGCTATGTAGAATTATACCACGTCACCTGAGCCCAGTTTAAACTTTGTCCCCAAATATTCGTTATCCAATATCTCGTATATAGAGTATGAGAACCACGCGATTTACTGTAACTGTGTAATACTTAATTCGAATGCTTATGAGAAATGACAATTTTCTGCATACCTAATTCCAATCTTAATACGGTGTGTATTCGCACTCGCAAGAAACCTTTTTTTTTTGTTTTTTTTTTTTTTTTTCTTTTTTTCTCGCCCCTCCACATCTCGTTCATATAAATGCAATATTTACTTAATATTGTCTGTATTTAAAATACCGACAACAATTCTTATACGCTTTTTGAAAGCAATAAAATTGATTTAAAAATGTACTGTGTAAACAAGTGTTTTATAATTTTATTAATTTATTTATTGTAACTGAATGTAAAATATATGATATATGTTATAGCTTATAGAAAATATTCGTGGAACTCCTTAATTACTATGTAAACATCACTGCCACTTTCTATTCATAATCTAAAAAATTATGAATATTAAATCCTACTTTAACACAATTTAGATACTTCCTTGTAAGTTATTGATGTCCCAGTAATATCGCGGCTGTGTGTGTGTCTCTGTTAAACTAGTGACCACACATTATATTTATATAACAAAAACTATTAAACTACAAATGTTACATGTATTAGTCGTACCATTATAAGAATTACAGTAGTAGAATTTGTATTATATCTAGTCACTTGTGTAGGAAAAAAAAAAAAAAAAAAAAAAATGTCATTAGTTATAACATTGTATTTGGTTCAATTGTAAGCATAAATGCTTATCATGAACTACTACTTGAAACTATTATGTGAACTCTATGTATTAGTGAGCAAAACAAATTCGCTTACTTTCTGTTGGGATTTTAATATTTTATACTACTTTTGCTGTCCAGTACTGTGAGTTGTTATTAAATTCTATATGTTACAAACTGTTTTAATTAATATCCAATGTCATGACATTATAGTAAAATATCCTTTCAAGAAGTGTATTTCAAAATTGAATGCTATTTACGTAATATCGTAAGAGTCGACTAAGGAAACTTAATAGTCGATCGATGGACAGGAGTGTCCCCCCCCCCCCCCCCTTAAAATATCATCAGAAGCCTAAGTGCGGTTGCCAATCCGCCTGTCAAACATGGCGTGCATCAATATATATAAATTACGATGTGGATGGATATAATCTACCCATGCGCCAAATATCATTCAAATCCGTTCAGCCGTTTAATCATGATTGAGCAACAAACATACATTACACACTTTCACATTTACAATATGAAAAAATTCATCATATAGGGCATTAATTGTCCACGGCTGGATATATGCCTTCCCAGCGAGTGAGGGAGGGAGGGGGGGGGTGGCCGGTAGTTGGCACGCTCAAAGAACCGACATTTGATGAGGAATAAAGGTTCATGAATGGCAAATCTCGTAGAACCGAACGTAAACATCCACAACCCTATTCCACTGGGGGAGGATTGATAGTAACGGGGACATTAATCCTCATTACTGTTAAGTTTGTCGCGGTGAACCATCTGATCTGACTTCATCCTCTCCTATCATCTCTCACTGGTACCCCGCCAGTATATACACCGATAGCGAAGGTGATGTTATAATTTCGTGACCAATAATTCTGGTGAGGCGTGTAAATAGCCGTAAAACACGAAATTATAATTTATTTAAACTAGCAATTAGACACGGTAAATGTATCGAAATACCTACAATTAAAATGCTTCCCAAAGGCTTATTCCAACAACCACAGGCAAACATGGGCACAATACAAACACCACTGACCTGTAGCCCTGACCAGGGCACCTCCTCGTAGTAAGGAGTCGCTACGAGCTGCCACTAAGAGTTGGCGGGAGTGATGCTGTGCCCGGTCACGGAATCTCGACTCAATTGTCCAATTCCAGAAACAACAAGTCCACATACACACACGATAATGAAGCAAGTCTTTTGGAGTACAGTTCGGTATTTTATTCTTTATTGTACACAAAGGTCATTGACATGAATAACAAACATTATAGTGCACAAAGGCGAGCTTATCTCGAAAAAAGATTTTACACCATGAAATAACGCGGCGGAACAAAAAATTTTACAAAGCTGCTAGATCGCCATATTTTGAAGAAAAGGCGGGAGCCAATACGGGCGCCGACTGTAGCGCCCTCATCAGCGAAATGATCCCATAATTCAACCACAATACCAGCAAGTGTTAACAGTATGCACATAGATGGCGCTAAGGATAATGAAATTGTACGTTTATACCAATGACACAGAAAAAAAAAAACACTACATACCACTAAAACGACGACTACAACTGCAGGGAGGGGAGTCAATGAATACCACTTGTTCGGGACAGTTTAGTTCCAGGGGGCGGGGGGGGGGAGGAAAGGATTCACAGTAATGGGGATTAATGGCCTCATTGTTAGCAGGCCCTGTAAAGTCGATGTCCACGCAGATTCCCCCCCCCCCCCCCCCCACTTGTCTGAAAACCATTGTGAAAACATATATATGTATACCGAAAGCAGTAGTTACCTTTAAATTACCATTACCACTATATTATCATCAGTTTAAAGCCTATGGGGGAGACTTATGTTTATGTTTAGCGTCGATAGATAACGACTTAGAGATACGATGATCGAAACGATAACGAGAAATAGAAAGAAAAAGAGGGGGGAGGAAGGAGGAATCTATTGCATACGTGCGAGCAGTTGCATCCTCTCTCCCAATGGAAAGGAACGGAATGAAAGATACGATCACCATAATATATACATATATACCTATATACATAACCAATATATATATATATATATATATATATATATATATATATATATATACCATTTTAGGATTAGGCCTCCGCTTCCCCCCCCCCTCCCGCCCCAAACCCGATTCATTCAATGAAGATGGGGCACTAATTTCTCTAAATCTCAATATTCGAACTTCACAATAGATGGCGCACATTAAAATGTAGAATTCGAACTACTTCACAATAGATGGCGCACATGGAAAATATAGAATTCGATACAAATAAATTACAGCGGCTCAATATAACTGCTCATTGGATAAGCGATTACCTGCGGTTTAGGTTTAGGTTAGGTTAGGTTAGGTTAGGTTAGGTTAGGTTAGGTTAGGTTAGGTTAGGTTAGGTTAGGTTAGGTTAGGTTAGGTTAGGTTAGGTTAGGTTAGGTTAGGTTAGGTTAGGTTAGGTTAGGTTAGGTTAGGTTAGGTTAGGTTAGGTTAGGTTAGGTTAGGTTAGGTTAGGTTAGGTTAGGTTAGGTTAGGTTAGGTTAGGTTAGGTTAGGTTAGGTTTTTTTTTTTTTTTTTTTTTTTTTTTTTTTTTTTTTTTTTTTTTTTTTTTTTATTTTCGTTGGTTCGCAGTGGTATGATATACTAACATATGCGGTAATGATCGCTAATTTCTTATCTATGTGTTTGCGCTGATGTCGACGGAAGGGAGAGCTTCCGCTATTAGATACGTGAGCTTCTCCCACCGTGGACGTTTGCTAATGAATATGACAAGGTTCCCACATAGGCCCCTGCGGCAGCGGGAATGGCAGACGCGATTTGATACGGCTATCCATACACCACATCCGCAGGATTACTCGAATGTCAATGGGGGAACAAGGTGAATTGATGATGATGAATGTGGTAATGATGAATTGACAACTATATACACGGACAATGGAATGGAGGTGAGGCGAGTGTGATAAATGTACTAGTGGGAGTTGAAGACTTGTGAAGGTGAGGTAATATTAATTAATTAGTGGACGCAAGTAGTCTGTCATGATCTTAGTTGGCCGTTGAAAGCTTTAAGATTGGTGATAATGTGTTTTGCAAAAGTGTCGAATGAACTGATGGCCGATTCGTGTTTTAACAATTCTAATATGTTAAATGGGGGCAATCTTAGATTGTTGCAAAGCAAGACATGATTTAGTCTCTTCGGGCTAAATCTGGGGCAGTGTTCTAGAAGATGTTCAAAAGTCTGCGTAGTAGAATCATCACAGGGACAAGCGTCGTCAGCGGCTATATTGAAGCGATGCAAGTATTGCTTTGTATAGCCATGTCCTGTTAATATTTGGGTAATATGAAAGGAAGTTTTGACTAGCTGTCTAAATCTGGTGATGTCAGTTAATTTAGGGAGAAGAGAAATCGTATGACGACCTTGAGATGAGCTCTCATATCTTGCTTGCCATATGCGGTTATGTTCAGCGCGGATGTTATGCTTGACAAAAGACATGGGATATGAAGCGTAGGATAAAGAGGAGTGCGAGGCGGCAGCGTATTTCGCCGCGGAGTCGGCCGCCTCGTTCCCGTCTACGCCTATATGTCCCTTGACCCACACGAAGCTAAACGAACCGGATGTGCGCGAATGGATTTGTGCATGAGTTTGTGAGACCAGAGGGTGCGTATTGCTTCGATCTTGCAATGCGGCAAGGGCCGCTTGGGAGTCGGTTAATATGGTGATGTGTGAATGTGGATGAAACGAGTTAGCCCACGTGCAGGCTTTGAGGATGGCGAGAAGCTCGGCCTGAAAGACCGAGCAGGACCGATGGAGTTTGAACTTCTTAACAGCGATTTGCTTATTTTCAGAATATGCGACGAAAGCGGCCCCGGTGTCAGAATTCTCCAGCTTACTTCCATCTGTATAAATGGTGAGGGATGACTGTGAAGTGGTGAGAGATGAATAAGGAAGCGAAGTGATGGAGACTCTGACAGCAGGGTGGAGTAACTTATGAGGCGGGGTGGGACGCTCAAGAGACAAATCACTGCGCAGAAGATGCGTAGATCCTGTGAGTCGCGTTTGCTCAAGGTGATGGACTTCGAGAACTTTAAGGTCCAAGGGAGTGAGTTCTGCTAACGCGATCGCTGCAGTAGTGGACACAGTCCTAAACGCCCTAATAATTCGAATCGCAAATCCTCGCTGCATACTCAACAGTCTCCTCTTGATACCTTTCTTAAGAGCCGCTTGCCCCCATACACCAGCAGCATAGGTGATGATCGGCTCGACGACATGCTGGTATATAGTTCTGACGTTTTCGGGGTGGGCTCCCCAGGTGGGACGACAGAAGAGACAGAGTCTGTTGAATATGCGCGTGGCTTTGTCGATGATGAGCCGTACATGCCTATTAAATGACAGTTTTTCATCCAGTGTGACCCCGAGAAGCTTAAGTTCTCTCACAAAAGGGAGAGCGGTGTCTGCCATTCTGATGGTGGCTCCTTTGGCTTTAGGTGTGAAAGCAATAGCGTGCGTTTTTGAGGGGCTAAAAGTCAGCTTTACGCTATGTCCCCACTCAGTAATTTGGAGTAACGCGGTGTTGGTGAGCCTCTGTAAATCCTCGATTCTAGCGCTGTGTACCACGAGGAGTACATCGTCGGCGAAAGCCTGGATGTGACAACCTCGTGGTAGTTGGATATCGAGTAGCTCGTCTAGGATTATATTCCACATTATAGGGCCACACGCCGATCCCTGGATGCAGCCCTTCGTCAAAGACTTGGTGGCGCGCTCATCCCCGTAGTTCAGGACTACCTCCCTATCCTGGAAGTAGCTGCCGATGAGACCGAAGATGTTCTTGGGACAGCCGATGCGACGAAGGCCGTCAAAAAGCGCTGGCCACCAAGCATTGTCGAAAGCCGCCTTGATATCCAAGGAAACGGCGATCACCAATTCCTTATTTTGTTTAGCGGAGTGAATAACATCAAGAGCTGTGGACAGTGCTGCTGTGGTGTTGGTTTGCTCTTTGAAGCCGAACTGCCTGTTATTTAATTTCCCGCAATTCCAGCAGCAAATGTAACCCGCTTTATGAGTAGCTTCTCTAATAACTTGCCAAGCACAGACAACAGACCAATGGGACGGTGAGAAGAGAGATCGCTATAGTCGGTCTTATTTGGTTTAGGGATGATTTTAACAAAAGCTTTCTTCCATTGTCTAGGAAAGTACTGCAACTCGAGACAACGATTAAGAATGTCCGTGATGAGATTTGGGTATGCCAGGGCAAATTGCATGCATATATCGGAGGTCAAGCCGTCCAAACCAGGCGCTTTTTTG